GGTCTTGCACCAGTCTTGGCACTTCTCCACACAATCCGCACCCACACCACGTGTTAAATATTAAATATTAACCCACCAACACAAGAACAAGAGCCTTTTTCTAACCAAGTTAGGGGCATTGGTGGCAAGAGAACCCCATTAAGCAGCAAATTTATTGGATTTAAATGGGGTTGGGGTTAATATTGCAGCTAATGTTGCAGTTCGTGTGGCTTGTTATTTATATTTTGGTACCTACCGTTAGTTATGGAGACGGAAATTGTAACGATACTACTGGAATTTAACGTAATGGTTTAGTTGCAACAAAATATAATTAGGTGTTTATGCTGCAACAAATACCAAACTTAAGTGGAAACCCGTGCAATAATTACTCAGGCGGAAGTCTCTCGCCAACGTTAACAATGGTTACGAAGAGACAATCTACCACCACCGTTTATTTTTGTTAGCTCATCCTACCCATAATTTATTAGAAATGAGAAATAAATAACCATGCATAAAAAAATCCAATAGTTCCCCTTTCACTCGATTGGCCTTCCGTCTTTTAACTGGATTGGACGGTAAATGATTGTCATGTAGGATGAATTTAATGGAATTAGACTGTCAATGATTAAGAAAGAAATGAAATAAAATCTAAAACGAGTGACTAATAAGTAAGAAAATATATTTCAATGACAAATGTAATTTTTTTTAATTATCCCTAATTAAATTAACAATGAATCCAATACTCCTATTTCCTAATCCACGCACCCAACAGAAGAAAACTGAACTATGTCTAGTTCATCAACGAGATGTAGGATATGGTGCATAACTATACTTACCTAATAAGATCTAGACTCTTAGTTTTTAATGGGGTAAGATCTCAAGGATGAGAATTAATGATTTTTAATTTATTTTTCCTACTTTTTCTAATCGAACTTATCTTATTTTTTTATGGTTAATCAAAAATTGCATTTGAATTCCAGGGAAGTGCAACTCGCAACTTCCCCCTCAAAAAGTCACTGTATGTTTACAACTCCATGAAAATACGAAAAACTAATGATATCTAACTAGTTACATTAAGGTTTTGCACTCTCAATTGGAAATTTATAGGACTACCTACAAACACCAGAAATTCTTGCTTAATTTTTGCCGCCACTTGAAACGAAGAGCTGACTGCTACTGATCCATAGAACCTCGCACAACGCTCCCTCCATATACCACTCAAACCCATCAACCAGAGCACCCTACTAACAGTTGTTGCATCAGAAGCTCCAGCCAGCTGCTTTCGACCCAGGCAAGGTGCCCCTGCCAATTCGAGAAACCTTGAAATGACCAAACTCTTTTAAGCAGTTACTGCAAAACTGCAATCCCAAACGAACAGGAGCCAAAAAGGTGCTCTCTACTTTCTTTACCCCAGGACATAAAGCACAACTCTCATCACATCCCACCCCCCAGCTTATCAACTTGTCTCTGGTCCTTATTCTCCCCAATATGATCAGCCATATTAGAATGCAATGCTTAGGGTATACTCATTTGTGCCACAAGGTCTGAAACCATGACACAGTAAGGGAAGGAACTCGAATGGACTCCCACACCTTCTTTACTGAGTACTTTGCCCAGCAGCAACCATCCCACTCAAAAACTCACCAACTCCTGCAATATGCTGTTGTGCCAAGTTTCGACACATAAGAATCTTCCTCCAAACCCACGTACTGACAGAGCAAGGAGAAAGGGACCATAGATCTTATCTTATTCATTCTAATTTGGATTGCAAACTTTTTACACAGATGGAACGGGTTCGTTGGGATCTACATAATGATATCCATTTTTAACATATATTGGAAGAAATTTTTCTTATACCACTTGGTACCACCTTCGTTTTTAACTTGAATTCAGAAATTTTTTTCTCAGAAGAAACGAATTCGTCATGATTTACAAATTTTTGGAAAAAGATTTCCAGGACAAAAAGTACCACTCTATACCACCTTGGTACATGGTGGCAACTCGTGGTATACGTTGATGAAAAGTACTAAATGTCGGTTAATATGTTTTTACTATGATGTATGGACCCATTTTACACTCTGTTGTGTCCATACCAGCATGATACACTCTCATACCATGTGGTATAATCTTATGTACATACCAAGTGTTACCCAATAATAATAAAAGTCACAACTTTTTTGGCTCCAAAATATATCAAGTTGGATGTCATTTTGTAAAGACACAAATAATCTGATCTTTTTGTATAAATTTATTTAATTTTTAATTAAAACAAAAGATATATAGCCTGTCAAAATTTATTAGAAAAAGTTAGTAGCCTTTCATAAATGGTAAGTACAGGATTATGTATAGTTATGCATCCATAAATTAGGTCCAGGATAGAGTGCATAACCCTTAGTTATGGGATTTTTCCAGAAATAGCACTGTTTAAAAAATAATTTCCAAAATAGCACCCAACTCCTAAAAATTTCAAAAATATCATCCTTTCCCAAAAACCGCCACCCGTACCAGCGGTTTAGGCAAAAACCACCACCCAGGGGCGCGTTTTTCGATGAAAACCGCACCCCCACCATGCGGTCTGTTTTTTTTTTTTTCGAAAAATCCTGACCTAGGTGGAAACTTCAAACGAACGTATCTTTATGTTCTAGTATCCGATCGTCGCGATTCTGAGATCTTGCAAGCCGGAGACTGCCGAAGGTGGTTAGGTCTCGCCTTCGTCCCAAAAATGTCGTTTGGTACCCCGAATTAGCTTTTTTCCGATTTCGTCAAACTTTGGACAACCATAACTTTGTGCTCCAAAATCCAAACGGCATGAATTTTTTTTATTTCGCATAAATTTTTAAAGAATACAACTTTTATCATAGACATAGTTTTGAAATGTACGTGGATTGCTGAAAAGGGAAGGTAAGCTATTCCCAAAATCCTGTATATCCAAAAAGCGGCGCAATATTTTCGAAATGTACGTTCGGATTTTGGAGCACAAAGTTATGGTTGTTTAAAGTTATTGAGCTACAAAATCCGAACTTCGTGATTTTTTTTTTTCATTTCGCATAACTTTTTAAGGACTACAATTTTTACTGGAATGAATTTTCAAAACATGAATTATTTTTGGATATACAGGATTTTGGGAATAGCTTACCTTCCCTTTTCAGCAATCCACGTACATTTTGAGATTATGTCTATGATAAAAGTTGTATTTCTTAAAAATTTATGCGAAATAATAAAAATCTCATGCCGTTTGGATTTTCAAGCACAAAGTTATGGTTGTCCAAAGTTTGACGAAATCGGAAAAAAGCTCGTTAGGGGTAGCAAACGACATTTTTTCGGGACGAAGGCGCGACCAAACCACCTTCAACAGTCTTTCGCTTGCAAGATCTCGAAAATTTATGCGGAATAAAAAAATTGCGACGATCGGATACCCGAACAGAAAGATACGTTCGTTTGAAGTTTCCACCTAGGTTAGGATTTTTCAAAAAAAAAAACGCATGGTGGGGGTGCGGTCTGCAACCAAACCGCATGGTGGGGGTGCGGTTAAATGACCCCTAAGTCTGGAATGAGAAGTATGTGCCGCTTCACGAAGAGGGTCATGCATGTCTCGTAGATGTGCATGTCACTTAACTAGAGAGATGATGGCATGGCTAAAGAAGGAAGAGGCCATGACGCGTGAGACATCTCTCATATGAGAAAAAAATGAAAGTCTGAGAGGTCCATGCCGCTTCACGAGAAGAGGCATGGACGCGAGACAAGAGGACCTAGGCACGATTGAAAAATACTAAGTATGAGAAGGCCATGTCGTGTCACGGGAAGAGCCACAAACATTAATGAGAAGTCCATGGTCGTGCCGCCTCATGATCTAGACTGAACGACCCAAAATATACTAAGTCTCGGAAGAACATGCCGCCTCATGAGAGGGGCCATGAGCATGATTGAGAGGTCTATGCCGCCTTACGAGAGGGGTCATGGACACGAATGAGAAGGGCGTGGTGGTGGAGATATATGGCACTAGTGACTAAGTCCCAAGAGGGCCATGGACATGAGTCAGAAGTCCATGGACCACGACCCCTTTGCGAGACACGACATGCTTATCAAAAGACTAGCATGACACGAGATTTGGAACAAGACCAAATGAGGCAAGCTATACTCCAAGAAATTACTCCAAGAGAACGACGTTTTCAAGAGGGGTACCTAGGAAGTTGAGAGATGAACTGCCACTCATACCATGTTCAAGAGACACGTCAGCCACGTCCAAAGAAGCAGGGAGCGATTTCTTTTGGGGAGTTATCCAAGAGGCAATTTTCTACGACGGTTACCTCTTCATCGCTATTAATAGGAGGAGGGGTCGACAGAGACAGGGGTTCCACAACCAACCATTTGACACCCAATGTCAAACTTTATCCTTTTTTATGCAATGTAGCCTTAGTCGTAGTTGGAGCTCTCGCTAAACCTCCGTAGGAGTAGAAGTAATTTAACTTAGATCTCGTTTCCAAAAACCATCAATCAAACACCCTCGTTCGAATTTTGTTTGAAGAGCTGTGAGCCGTGTCTTGGAAATTGTTGTCTTAAAAAAATCAAATGTGCAATCAGTCCATTTATTTCAACGTATGTTTTCTCGCCGGAAAACACCACCGACATTGGTGTCAATCGATAGTTTATTAATCTAGAAATCGATAGGATAGAAATATATATATATATATATATATATATATATATATATATATATATATATATGTATATTCAAATAAAAACCCAATGCTGTAGCCTTTCTTTTTTTGGAGAAAGACTCAGCAGTAAAAACTTGATTGAAGTTTACAACCCACCCAATACCAAAGTCTTTCTCTTCCAAAAAAGACCCCCAGTAGTACGCAGTGAAAATTTTGATCCAAGGCACAGCAATATTAACAATATTTACTAAATGAACATTACTAACATACTAACTAGCTAGTTCCCCTTCTTTTTCTTTTGAATTCATCCCTTTTGTTACAATAAGTTACTATTATATGCCGTGGAGCTAGGGCTTTTATTAATTACACGGTGCGGCATCGAGCCGGCGCAGGAGCCCTGACGTTCGATTTGATGCGCCAGCTGGTTCGTGCTCTCATTATCTCCGATCCATCTTCCATGCAAAGCGAATGCTCCAACTCCACGCCGTCACCCTCCAACTTCCCCACCATCTTGGACAGCGACTGGATCCCGCCGTCGTCTATTCTGCACTCTTTCTTGTACTCCAACGTCATCCCGCAAAGCTCCCGACTCTCCAAGATCCAACGCGGTGCTCCCTCGATAATCCAGTCGATGTATTTCACGTTACTCACGTGATAATTGATATCCAAGTCGTTCCATCCTGGCTGTACACATAAGAGAAAACCCGTCTGCTCTGTGAGTTTTAACCCTAAAAATTTGTACATGACATAATTGCATGCATCCTGAACTCATGAATTCACTTACACTTAGGCCCGTGCGGACGTTATCTGCGGATTCAATAGTGACACGTTGTATCTTGCGCTTGTCTCGTGGCGCGACGGAATCGCTAACCGTTAAGAAATGCGGCGCAAACTCATCTCTCACTTCCTGCACGAACCTCGACAGTCTCCGGGTATTTTTGTTCATCATCACACAACAGCTGCACAAAACCAAAAATGATTTATTAAATCAAATTTTAAAACTACTAAAGATTAGAGAAGATGTTTTGATTCCATGAATAATTACTTGGTGGCTCGAACTAAGACTTGGCCCGTCTTCCCGTCGCGAATGAGCCAATCATTGCCCAGCCCGTTCTTCCCCGACGCGTACAGCCAGTTGTCCAGCTGGAACACCTCGCCCCTGCGGATCAGAATATTTTTTTTTTATGATTCAACAACGTTAGTGAAATCGAAAACCCAAGAGGGCAAAATTCCCATTTTTTGGACCGGATTTGGTTAATTAATTACCAAGAAGGATAGCGGTTGACAACTACGTGTGTAGCGGTGACGACCCAGCAGAGGTTGTTGCTTCTCATGTAGGGTGTCCATCCAAAACCTTCAGCCACTATTCCCATGCACGCAGTGTGGCTTAGCGCCGTATCCTGATCATCAATTTTTTTTTTTTATTACAAAATTTTAGATTAGATAAACTAGCTCCATAACGCACGAAATTAAAAAAAAAAAAAAAAAGTAGTGAAAAACCAAACCTGAAAATACTTCATCAAAGAGCCCATGGTGAGCTTCCAGTCGGGACCAATCTCAAACGACTTCACCAGGACACGTTCCCTGTAGACCAGCCCATTCTCCACCAGCACGCCGCCGCCCGCAGGCTCACTCGCGAAATCACTGCGGAAGTCCAGCTTCAAATTGTCGCCGTCCACATGACCGTCAATAATATTGCTCTTATTAGCAGTCGTCCACGTCGTCACCGGAGGTGGCAGAAACGACGAGGACGACGTGGCGGTTTTGGCCCGTGACATGGCGGTTTGTAGAGCAGTGGTAGTAGTACTGCTGCTGCTGGCGATAGCAGCAGCAGCACTACTACTCCTCGCCACAGCACCATCGTTTCGGGCCGGAGCAAGGGCGACGACGACGAACTTTCCTCGTCCTGCTCCTCCTCGCCCGAAACTTAGTTGTGGGCTGGACCTGTATTTTCGATGCGGCACTTGGATTTTCATACCCCACAGGGAGGAGCTGCTGTTGGCTGAGGGAGCAACCATTTTTTTTTTTTTTTGGATCTAGGGTTTCCAAAGAGTAGTATAGATCGATGGGGGAAATAATGGAAGGAAATGTAATTTGTGCAGTTTGGTGACAGTCCATTATATACACCATCTGCGTGCGGGTTCTCTCCCGGGGATGTTGGTGGCACGACTGAGTATGTGACAATATTATAGACCGTTCTCATGACCCACATGGGGCCATAAATCGATTGTTAATGGGTTTCATAATCTGGTGGTGAAAGATACGGGATCCTAATTTTGCTTTTTTTAGGGCTAGCTGAACAGTTCTCTCTCTTTAAGGTTAAGGGAAGAATGGTCAAAGAATGAGAGACCAACATGCAACTACATAGTCCAGGCTGTCGCAGAGCCACAGCTAGATCAAGTGCGATCTGTAAAACCTAGCTAGCTACAACAAGCCCCGATTAAATAAAGACCACAATTCTAGAACCAGTAGACTTTTATTGCATCATGTGCCGGGTCTTCGGCATGACTAAGATTGAAGGAATCGATATGGGAAATCTTCAAATGGAGCATAAAGCTGGCCAGGGTACAGGATGAGGTGTCTAATTAAGGGTGCTTGATTAATTAGGTCCTTAATTATGTGTTGGTGGAGTGGAATCCCGGGTAATTAAGTTAATTGGATTAGCATTAACGTTCCTGACAAAGGAAGTTTCTGATAAACCATCGAATCGGAATCAAATCTCTCTTAAATTTTTTTATATTATGTGATCTTCTCAATGTAACCACACCAGCTGGCCGGCCAGGAAATAGGGTTCCCAGAAAAGGAAGCGAATTGTCTAACCTCTCAACACTTTGCCAATAAGACCAAACAAAAGAGTAAATTAAGAACCGCGGTTTAAGTCTGTGTTTAAGTACTATAACCCAACTTAATATGATACCACACAGGACTCCTGATAAGTACTCTCCTTGGAACTTGTTGGGTTGGATTAGATACTTTCGGGACAAGATAGGGTCGTAATAATAACCGAGTTACAATCTGTTTTCCGGCGAGGAAAACTCTAGCGTTGGATGTGAATGCTTTGTACTTTTGACTTTTTGAAAATCGATTCTAAACATGGTTTGTATCTCTCTCCAAATAATGTTCAAACGGGGTTTTCTTCAGTACTCTTTGGCGCTTTTCGACCTCCAATTGTCCTGAAATTTGTCCTCGACCTTCCCACACGTGTTATGACCTGAAATATGAAAAAAGGAGCACAACCTAGTTTAGAATAGGTCGAGAGACGATGAAATGCAAAGGCAAACTATCAAGAAATGAGAGGGAAAATGTGTGTAATTAGCCCCGAATCACCCCCCCCCCCCCAACACACTTGTACGTTTGCTTGTCCCCAAGCAAACCAAGTACAAACAAAGTAAGCTTACAACTTCTTTTTCAACAAAATTTTGGGGCATGTCATATGGCACAAAACATGTAAATTTCAATGGCTATTAGACCTCAACATATACACAACAACAACAACAACAACAACAACAACAACAAGAAACTGCTCCTTTTTGTAACATCTTTCTACATCAACACTAATAGCCATGAGATTCAAAACAAATCACCTACGGTGCCACTATGATCATACAAATGTAGAAGTTTCTATGCTTGGAGCCCTCAAATTTTAAAAAAATTGAGCATGCAACTAGGCTCCAAGCACTCATAATCACACCAATCATTCACACACACAAGCATAAAAGACTATCTTCATACTTAAGCTCGACATTGCCCTCAATGGAGTAAAATAAGAAGGTAGAGAGATGTTACCGGTATGGTGTGAATGTTGGTGGGCGGGAGCGGAGGGAGGGTGAGATTCAGAAGAGCACGGCGAAGTCCAAACACCACCAAAAGCTTTTCAAAGGTTATCTTATTGGAAGGAAAAGAGATGCAAATTGATGGTGGTTGGATTGCCTCCCACCAAGAGCTTCTTTAACGTCGTGAACCGGACAGTTTCTCTTCAAGTTTCAGTCCATCCAAGAACCTCTTTGAAGTTGAGGTTCTCGTCGGTGAGGTGGTGTCTCAAGTCACGAGCTTTGGAAAAATTCGTGATTGAGGGCTCGTGAACTTGAATGGTCTTGAGGCTCCACCCACAAGACCTCTACTTCTTTCCTTCTTCATTTTCTCTTTTCCCCACACCATATAATGAATCATCGATTGAACGCCATTGCATCCACCAAGAGGGATCGCCGATGGTTTGGCCTCTTCTTGGCAAAGAGCCGCAAACGGGTCCTTCTCGAGTAGCATGTTGAGGTCGGGTGGAAAGCTTTCATAACACTTGTAACATGTGAATGCATCATCCACCTCGACCTCGTCCTTATCTTGGACACCCCTTGCATCTTCAAACTCCACCTCCATTCCTACTTCAAAATTTGATTCCTCCCCTTGGGAACAACCAGGATCTTCCTCCTCTTCAATGCTCACTTCCTCTTCTTCAATCTCTTCTTTTTTAGTCTCATTCATGTCTTCAACCACGGTTTGTAGGGCAAGATGCCATGCAAGATCATAGAAAGGATTATCTTGCTCCTCTACCCTCGTGACATGGTCTTCGAAGTTGTTCTCGGGAAGGGAAAAGGTGTGAAAGTCATCAATGCAACCTTTTTGTTCATCCTCGCCACAGTAGCTCTCCGGGGTGAGTTCCTCTTGCTCCACACGGTTGTCATTGTTTGCCCTTTCAACCTCCTCTTTCTCCTCCAATGACGAGAAGCGATAGTGTACCACCTTCTCTTCTAATGTCAAATCAAGAGGAGGGAAGGGCTGGAAATCCGTGTTGGATCTTGTCCTTTCAAATTTATCCATGGCAAGCTCCAACTTAGACTTCTATTTGGGTCGTGGGAGATCCAAGTTCGCGCACGCTTCATCGGTGCCTCGGGAAAACTGCTCCACCATGAGCTCCAATTTGCTTTTTGGCTCTGGTTGTGGAGTGGCACATGGTCTGGAGGAATGTCCCATGAAAGTCTCCATTGCCAACTCCAACTTGGATTTCTCCTAAGTTTGAGGAGGGAAGTTTTCTTCATATGTGGAAGCTTCTTGAAATCCCCAATGGTATGCTTATTCTTCTTGGAAGGGAGGTTAGTCATATAACACGGTTCCTTGGCTTCCACCCTCTTGATTGTTCCATGAAGCTCCGGGGTACCCCCATTCGGGTGGTTGTGGATACCCCCACAGTATGTAGAAGCCATTGGGATCCATGATTCAACCTACCAACACAGAAACAAGAAAGGAAAATCAAACAAATACGAACCACCCTTCAAGACGAAGAGTGGGTCAACAAACACAAAACTTAAAAAAATGGATAAAGTAACGAGCTTAGCCTTTTTCTGATAACCTAGAATGGTTCCCCAGCAACGGTGCCAAAAACTTGACTCGTTCCTAACTACAACTTCCCAATCGACGGCCAAGTATAACCGACGACCGGGTGTAACATAGGTAATCAAGCAATAAGATTTATCGTACCACAAGGATCTAAGCTTACTTTACTTCAGGTTTAGGGTTCCTTATCTAGCCAACCTAGGATAGTGATTAAGAAGACTAAACTAACTAACCTAGCTATTTACAAGGTTCGGATCTCTCTTGGGATGAATCCCCTAGTTCCGACATTTGGATCGACGTTGAGTATCATCCTAGTTTGATCATCTCAATTACTCTACCGTTAGGAGATAGACTCCCTCGGGATTGACCTGGAACGACGAATCGATGGATGGGTAGGTGCTCTATTCAACCTAGGGGTTCATATATTGCTAGGAAACCGATTGAATCAACTATTCAACTCCCTTGGGGATTACCCGGACAATATACGATAGGAGTGACCCGAAGATGTCAATAGTGAGCTCTAAGGAGATTTTCTCCCTCCTAGGTCAAAACCTCAATACATGAAAGGGAAACCAAACTCATGTCATTCATTAATACATCCATCAATTAAGGAAAATCATCAATCAAACATGGAATTTGTCAAATACATCAACATAAAACCAAAACCTAGACATAGGGTTCTTAAACCCAAGAGAAGAGGGCAAGTTTCTAGAGAGAGAAGAGAGAGATTAGAAATTGGAGCACAAGATCTTCTTCTTCTAGGCTTGATTCCTTGCTTCCAAACTTGATCAATGCCTTCGATTAAACTCCAAGATCACTCAAGAACTCTCTCTCTCTTTCTCTCTGTCACCCACTCACACTACAACAAATTCGGCCTTTTATGACGAGGAAATTGTCATATTAGATACCGATTTTGTCATATTAGGTATAATATGACAAAAGGTGTTGTCACAAAGGTTTGTCATTTTATCGCCGTCAAGATAGGTCAAATGTGACAAAAGTTTAAAACAAGGTTGTCACATTCACTTTCAGTATAACTGAGGTTCTGGGTAATCTATTGTGACAAACCGAGATGTTATGACGATATATTTTGTCATTACTTTTGTCATAATTTGCTTATTTTGACAGAATTTTTCGTCATATTATACCATTATATTTTGATATCACATAATTGTGAGGAACAATTTTTTTCATAAATGCATGTTTGACGAACATATTTTGTCATAATTGTATATTAGGACGAACATATTTTGTCATAATTGCATATTGTGACCAATATGATTTATTCATCAATATATTGAATAACATATAGTTGAAAAGATCAATATTCTTGTAACGTATAGAAAAAAATTCCCAAAACCCAGAAAATACAGTGTCATCTAGAAAAACCCCAAACCCAGGAAATAATTTCTGCCCCTGCCGTTGATAACAATACACTCTTCTTCCTCACTTCCGCCGCGCCGACAACGCATCCTTCTCCTGCCTGCTATTGGAGCCATCGCCTACAACGAACAAGAAACAATAACAAACCAGAAAAGAAACCCCAAATCCAAACCCAGAAAATGCAAATTTCATCTTCTTCCAATCTCTTCTTCCTCACTTCCACGACCGCCGAGAACCCATCCCCTCACCCATCTCCAGAAGCCAAAAAACCTATCTTCTTCCAATCCCAAAACCCCATCTCTGGAACCTGCCCCTCGCTGAAAACTAAACACCCAAATAAGAAAATAGAACAAAACGAAATCAAAATCAAATCTCCCAAAATCAAACTTCATATTGAAAATAAAAAATACAACCCACAAAACATACCTTCCATTCTCTTTGATTTCCCCAGCAAAAGAGAAGAAAGTGAGAAGGGGGAATCGAAATTGGACAAATCCACCCCCAATCTGGATCTGCCTATCGTGCCAATTAGTTCGTATACCAATTAGCCATTTTCGATTCCAAATGATTCGATCAAAATCAAACCAGGACAAAAGAGACAGATGCGAATACCTAGATTCTTTTTCAAAGCCGACAGCAGCGCCTCCGTCTTTTATTAGAGAGTGGATAAGCCCGATGCAAGACCTCAAACGAAAGCTGCAGTAGCGAAAACTTCAAACTCCTCGCCGACTCGGTGATGAGGACGATAGGGACTGGGATTGGGGTTTGGGTGTGCGAGAAAAAGTTGGGAGGTGGGGGATTTGTTAGGAGTTGGATAAAAAGGGTTTGGTTTGGGTGAGGTGGAACAAAAGTCGGGAGAGCTAGGGATTAAAAGGCGGAAGATGATTGATATAGAGGCTTACAAGTTACCGCTAAACGACGTAGTTTAGAAGTCCACAGCCCGGTCAACAAACCTGAGAAAAAAATAAATTAATGCAATATTGTTTCGGTGGGACTTGGGAGGGAACTTTGGGCGGGCTTAATAAAATTTGACTGGGACTTAGGAGGGAACTTTGGGCGGGTGTAATAAAATTTGAGAGTCAAAAAGTTAAAAACTAACCTTTTATTTTGAGGAATAATATGGCAAAAGCTACTCTGACGATATAATTTGTCACTTTTGTGTCTCTTACATCTCGATTTGGGATGCCTATTTTGACAAACTTAATTGTGACACGAAATATTTGTCACATTACTCACTTCAAATGACAAACTATTCTGACAACAAAAAATTTGTCACAGTTGAATCTCTTACATCCCGATATGAGACGCCTATTTTGACAAAGTTAATTGTGACACGAAATATTTGTCACATTACTCACTTTAAATGACGAATTATTCTGACAACAATATTTTTGTCACATTAGGCATACCAAATAGGACATATTTTATTTTTGTCATATTGCCATACCTATTGTGACAAACAGAAAATGACAAAATAAAAAATTTGTCCTAATAGGCCGAATTTGTTGTAGTGCACTAGAAGTCCCCTTTGGTGTTTTGGATCGAAATAGAGAGAAAATCAATTTCTGCTCCAAAAACCAACTCCCCTTTGGTGTTTTGAAAACCACCGAGGACTTCAGCATCTGAATAACTGAAGTTTCACATCAAAGTTATTGCCATCAACTTGAGGGTGTTGGATACTTAATCTCAAGTCCTCCGCCCTGGCGGTCAGGTAATACCCATGGTCTGCTCCTCTGGTTGCATTTGATCATTCACATCCCTCATTTGATGATTAGGATCACCCATAGATTCTTCTCCGTCGCTTGCTAACCCTTTTGTGACGATAACCTTGTCCAGGTTCTCTTCCGCAGCCACTAGCACTCGCGGTGCTTTCTTGAACTAGTGACAGGTCCGTTCAAGTTTGTGATCCAAAGGCAGTAGATCTCCTGACTGGCTACGGGTCATGCACTACTTAAACACGCGGTGAAAAGACAACTCGTGAAGGCAAATAGGTGGAAGAGAGAGAATGCATAAAAGTGATTGCTAAAGTAACAGATTTTCACGTTTCCTCAATAACCTAGCCGTCTCCGACAATGGCGCCAAAAAATTGACACGTCTTTACCAACACAAATAAACTACGACCAAGTATGATTGCAATCTAGGAATGCATTATAGTGGTTTAGGTTCTAAATGTAAACGCGATTCCTAGGTTTATTGCTTACTCGGTGAAATTCTATTATCTAGCGGTAAAAATTGGGTGAACTTGATTATAAGTAAAGCAGGAAGAAAGAAAATAAATGTTTCGTGTTTTCAAGTATGAGAAGGTCACCCAGGAATAAACTAACCAACACATTACCACACAAAATCCTCTCTATTCGAATACCCTGTGGGCGACTAACCTCCACTGGAATAAACTAACTCACCCACTACCACACGAAACCTCCTCCATTGGATTTCAATTGCAGTATAGAGCAGTGAATCAACTTCTCAACTAAAGCAATCGATTATCTACTTCCAATTAAGGCTGCTCATTTAACCTATGCAGAGACGATCATTCTCGTTTAAAGCAGGAACCATAGGAATTTGATCAAGACTCATGAAATTCTGAATAATGCCTTAATTGAGTATAAGATAAGCAATCATCCATGAAAATGGGTTCATACAATCATTCCTAACATACACGACTAGGATTCTTCCTATCCAAATGAGAAGAGAGTTTAGTCCATGGAGAGTAGAGAAAACACAAAACTGGATGTAGAAAACATCATGTGAAAGATGTAATTCTTCTCTAGGTTACGAATCGACACTGCGAGGGTGAAGGATCAAGATCCAATGATCTTAGACGACTCCAATCACCTCCCAAGATTGTTCTTTGTCACTATCTCTCTCTCTCTCTCTCTCTCTATAGCTCTCTCTTGTTGTTTCGGAACTTGGAAAATCGGATCATTAGCCAAAAACCCAAAATTCACTTTTACACCAACTCATGACATATTCCTCGACCATATTCCTCGGGCAGGTAATTCTCCCCTGACCCTGGGGATTCTTCAAATGCAGTGCATGGTTAAGTGACCTGCTCGAGTCACCCAGCCGAGGATTTACATCAACACCCAAGGGATTACCTCCTGTAATTATACTCGAGCTCCTCTTCAAGATACACGTCTGGGTAATCACGATCCAAGGCCTGGTAATCTGCCTGGTGATGCTAACTTTATCTCATAGTCTCCAGCTTGTCTCGAAATCCACTCATGAGCATCCAATTTACATTCTAGGACCTGAAATATCTCAAATAAAAACAACTTAGCGTAAAATAGGCCAATGAACATACAAATCCAAGCCAAAATGATTAAGAAATGAAAGGGAAACATGTAAAAATGCAGTGTTATCATAGACCTATGCAAGAATGGATCTAACTTTGAGGACGACATGCATGTCACGACAACCCTATTGATCATTTTCTTCCACTCCCTAAAAAAATTAAGATTCATAACGAAACCTATAATTTCAACAAAGGGATGAGGGTGGAAGTAGATGAAGGTATGAACTTAGACCTCATATTTTAAATTCATCTTCGCTCGAGCCAAACTAAAAGAGCAGAAAACATGCAGGTGGAATTGGATTCAACGGATTAGTTTGGGCCAAGAAGATCCAATGAAAGCAATCTTTCAATTTCTTCTCTTGTTTTAAGAGGGAGTTTTCCCTAGTTGATGACGGTATGAAGATGAATGGATAGATTGATAAAGGGGTAGGTTTATTTATCTATACAAAGGGAGGGGGGGAGAGAGAGAGAGAGAGAGAGAGAGACTGCGGTGGGATGAAAAGCTAGTTGTGGATTGAGGGAGTTAAAAATTGTCAAAAAATGTAAAAAGCTACCCATAAAATTGATTGTACATGGGCTTGCAAACAATGAAGCTAAATGCACATCCATAGCCGCTGCAGAGCTTTGCTTAACTCCCCAAATATAGGTAAATCTTGGATTATTATCCTGGATCGCGTCAGTAAAATACATAATAGGAGCAATATAAGCCAAATAAGAGGAAATGAACTTCTTGTCAATCACCTTGCTGATTGTTCTTAGAAACCTAAATTCAAAATTTTATATAGTCGGGTAGCTAGAATTTTGTCTGAAGTAAGTAAAAAAAGATGTTTTTATTAATATTTACAATATATTATGCGTTCTCATATTTTGGAAGTTTTATAAAATATATTCATCATTCAAACAATTGAGAATATCATTCTCTATGTATTCAACCTGAAAATCACTTATGAGTTTATTACTCATTCGGCTCCAAAGTGTATTTTCATGTAGTTTATTGACCCAAACAACTATCCACATTTCTTGTTGCGACTTATAGCAACAACACTAATATCACAAGTAGCAAATCCACGGGTACATTCCACAATATTGGATTTGGGTCTCTAGCCGTGGAACTTCTCTGCCCAAAATCCATTGTTTGTTCCTATCCACTAACGTGTAATTGGCTTCCTGATCGAGGATTTTGACGAGTCACCATACGATCTTCAGCCTACTCGTTTGGTGTCCAAGAAGCTCCAAATCTATGATTCAACACCTTGACGATGCTTAGAAACACTTATATTTTCACCTCCAACTCCTACCTTTCCTCGGATGTCTACCAAACAAAACGAGTAAGCCTCCAAAGTAGGTACCACAAACTGTTTCCCAGACTTAGCCAAATTTCCAGCTTCTTCTTCCCTTGCCTTGGTTTCTTCTTTGATCATCAATCAAATGGTTTTTGGATCACAATCCAAGATCACATCACTAGGCAATACAATCCTATTCTTTGCACCAATTAAACCTGCATTCACACTGCAGTATGATCATAAACTTAAGCACACCTATAATTAATCCCTCTCTTTCAACCTCCAACCTTCTGAGCTCAATTTCCATGTTCCTCTCCTAAACCATGAGTCTCACTCTCCTCGAAACTCGAAACCCCTATGTTCCCTAGATAAAACCCAAACTCACTAGACTTTGAGCTCTATGTGCAAATGTCGAGTTATTCCATTAACTTTGAGACTCTCTTCTATTTAGTTTTATGCCGTCATCTATAATAGCCCTTATACTGATCAATCATGTAATTCTATAATTTATATCCATTCACCTCTATTGGAAGCCTCCCCCCCCCCCCCCCCCCCCCCCCACCCCCCTTATATCCCCCAAGTTCTTCAACCTTTTTCATAACCATCTTTCCCATGATTAACCTCCTTCTCTTCCTCCTATTTTCCCTAATTCCCATTCCGGAGAGATTTTTCCCTTTGTCCCAAAAATTTTCCCGATAATATTTTCCTTTATAACTTAGCCCTTAATTTTTCACCTTTTGACCTGCAAATATTAACCACTAAGATTCGCTTAATTTCAATGTTTTGACATTAGAACGTATTGGACCCAATATTTGGACAAACTTGGGTCTGAAGCCCACAGTCGCTATAAGCCCAAAAGAAGGATAATTTACCAACAGAGTCCGACAACCTCCGGGACAACGCATGACCGAGGCGCGTTGTCAGACAACTGGCAATGGACCACGGACACCTGACAGGAGCGCCTAACAGGATTGACTAATGATTATTGCCAATTAGCAGGGGAATGTGAGGCGCCTTACAAGAAAGCCCTTCAGGAATAACTAATGGTTATACCAGCTAGCAAGAGGAATGGGGCACCTGATAGCCGACGTCACAATGCAAAAGACGCCATGAATGCCTATATGTACTCCTTTGTCGCTTTGGCAGAAGGTAAGTTATATTCTCTCTCTTAATGCGTGAGTTTATCCATTTTTCCTCTCTAACTTAAGCTTTGGAGGAGGTCTTACGACACCCCTAAAGACCTTTCTTGCAAGATCTCGGAGCACGCTCGTCGGATTTGTCACCATCCTCTAGTTTCTCCCTCACAAATTACCTAGAACATTCTGGGTACTAACAGAAGGAAATCAGAAAAGACCACCACTAGTTTGGTAGAGTCAGATCATATAGGGTCTGTGGAGGCTACTCAAGACGAGAAAGAGGATGCAATTCTCCAAAAGTGAGATAGAGGAACACCTGATTGGAACGATTGCACCTCCACTCGAAGGGTCTTGAAATATGAGGATGATTTTGGTGACATCCAAGAGCTCAAATTAATGGAGATGAAAATCATTGATTAATGACATCCAAAGTTTTGGTAATGATAAGAAAGAGTTCAATAATTAAGAGAATTCTTCGGAGCCTGAAACCTTCTATTATTGGTCCCTCGTAAGAAAGTTGGATTCATGCAATTAAAGCATGATGGTTTCAATGTGTGGCAGCATACATATGAGTTGGGTTGCAATGGACATAGTGGAAAGTAGAGGTGGAATTTTCATCTTCTAAGAGGATCATACACTTAGGAAGCTTGGGATGTGAGAAGGCATGTTCGACTTGGCTCTAGCTATGGAAGAACTGGAGATGAGGAGAGCTTTCACAATTATGTTTTTTATGGACCTCATATAAGACTGTAAATTTACTTTCTTAAAATGAATTAAGGAGTGTCTGTAAACTTGATTGCCGATGATACTAACTAGTCTAATCTATGACAAGTGCACCATATATTAAGCTCTAACTCAATTGTCATGTATTTAAAGCTCCTACCACCTAGGTAGAGGGACTTGAGTATGAATTCTCATAACCCCAACTACCTAGGTGATGCATTTAGATTAGGATTCCACTAATGAAGTTATCTCATTCTTTATGAGGTAACCTCACTATGAAAAGGTAATGTGGCGCCATGCTCCGGTTAAACCACACAATTCTCATCTATCTAATGGTGGCCCAAACCCTAGAGATTGGGGTAGGATTGCCTCGTCAATCTCCAAGACCTAAATACATTCCATTAGAATTCCAATTCTTTCAATCACTAGATAGACATAGAATATGGGGTCTTGTTGAGCCATGGTTCATGAACCATGCTTAATTGTCACCTGATGCATTTAACCCGTATTTTTTATCATGTAATGATATGTTATGTTATATCGATTAACATGATTAACTAACTAATCAAACCAATTTAATATTAGTTTGATTAATTTGCTTGTTGTATTAATATGAACTGTTTGGCTAAGAGACCGAATATCTTTCTTCTCGACGGCAACGTAACTCTCATCCCTCACTGTAAATTAGTAGACCAATCTCTTTCTGCCGGACGACATTGTCGGAGGCACGAGCCGATTGTCGATTATGGGAGCCACGAGGGCGATTGACGGAGGAAGAATTAGAAGCTGTGCAGGTGCGGCGGTGGCAAAATTGTGCATAGGTGGGGGGAGAACACGAGCGGGGAAAGCATCAACGATAAGTCGTCTATGTGGCTCCGAATTTTTTTCTATTTTTATTTTATTCAAAAACAATAAAATAGTTATTAAAAATTAACATGACCCAAAAATTTAATATATTTCCACGCCAATTCAGCATTCCAACTCAGCATTCAATATGCCACCTCAACATTATTTCACATAAATTCGGACAGAAAACTAACGATTCACTATTTTTACATTTAAAAGATTTTGCTAATATTTTTTGAGTTTGCGAAAAATTTGAATAATACAATGTATTTTTTTATTGTATTATTCCGACTAATCCAATGTTTTTACTCTTAAAAAAATTACGAGACATGTGCAGAGCGGAGCTAACTACCTCCCCGCTCAGTAGTCACCGTTGATTACTTAAAATGACGGACCATCTACAACGATCTGACGGCCTGCTCTGCTCCGAATATCCTACCGAAAACTTAAAACTCACCTAAAAAATAGAAATCCAAAGCTTCAAAATTAAGTAAAATAAAAATAAGAGACGAAAATGACGTTTTCGCTCTCAGCCTCTCTCTTCCTACCTCCGGAGAAAAAGAAGGGGGCGTTAGATAGAGCTATTACCAATACTGGTGGCGAGAAAAGCTGACGCTAGATTTTCTCGAGAAATGGCAGAAGAAGATGAAAAAGAAGGTGAGATTCTTTGATAAACCCCTTTCTCGTTTAACCCTCTTTTTCCTTTGTTCCCTTTCATTCATTTTCTTCAATTGCCAGCACAAATCCGGTAATCTGTCTCATACGTAGCTTTCATTTCTTCTTCCTGCCTGTTTTTTGCTCCCTTCACTGCAAACAATGATATGACCCTCGTGCCTTCATTTTTGCAGAATTTTGTAAAATATGTGAACTTTATTTCTTTATGTGTAATTGATGTTCTGGGTTTGTAGGGGCATCGTTAGTTTAGGGGTTGGGGTTTGGTTATATGTTGACATTGTTTAGAATTGTGGTTTCCCTCATGGAGGATTCCCCTGTTTCCCTTCATTTGGCATCCTGAAATTGGTCTACATTGTTCTCCAGAGTTTGATAGGTCTCTTAATTTTGACCATGGTGAAAATAAGAAATCAGTTGATTCATCTTGTTCATATGACAAGTACCAGCCTGTTTATGGTTTGGTATGTTCGAAATTTGTTGATGAGAAATTTAATTGGCTTCTGATGAGAAATTTGATCTTATTCTGCCAGCCTACATACAGAGCTGAGGGTTATTTTTGATTTCGAGTTGCCAAGCGATTGAAGCTTGGTTATCTTCTCAATTCCAGATTGCTCAACCAGGAGCCATTCTTTTTATTGGATTTGCTCAAAATCATATCAAGAAGGCTCCTACTATTATGGGATTTCTTGTCTCTACTGCAATTCAGAGTTAGTTGGGGTAGAGACTTTAGATGGATGTCACCTCTTCTGGTCCAATCAGCATCTCCCGAACCAATCCCCTTTGCTTATAGATCATATCAAAATGCATCATCACGACCATGAGCACGTAATAATTGACATATCAAGAAATGATGTGGCTTCTTCATCAGCCTCATCACCTCGTGATGATTTCCATCTCGAATCGCATCATGAAGACAGACCTTCCAACAGCACTACAGAAGACGTTCTCAATTACCAGACTTCTTCAACTATGTCAACCAGGTTAAACTCTAGGAACTCAACATTCTCGAGGAGAGGCGATTCGTATGGTCGGCGAAGGAGGAGTCCTTTGAATTCTGGGTTATGGATCTCTGTGGAGTTACTTATCACAGTGGGCCAGATTGTGGCTTCTGTCGTGGTTTTGTTGCTCTCGAGAAATGAACACCCACAAGCCCCATTATTTGCTTGGGTTGTCGGTTATGCGTCAGGCTGTGTGGCCACCCTTCCAATCCTGTACTGGCGTTTTCGTACTCGCAACCAAGGTATTCTGCAAGATCCCCTGCAATCACATGAAGGCAATTCGCCAGTAGGGATTCCTGATTCTACACCATATACTGCTATCTCTATTAGTCAGGATGAGATGAATGAACCATCAACAAGGGATAATCAAGCGCCGGGGAATCTAACTAGAAGGTAATGCCTTCCACTTAAGTTAGGTTATCCTTGGTAAGATTTTGCTGTACGATTTTTGGTTGCTGGCCCTGTAAGTAATACTGATTCAAGCACGCCATATATTTGAAAAAAGATAAATGTTATTATCTGATCAATGTTCTTAAGATGTTTGCTTTGATTAGCTTAGGAATTGGAATTCCAGGGAGGATGGTTTAGGATAAAAGTCTGGAAGCTGTAGTCTGTTGTACCTCTTGTTTCCGTTAGAATTGAAAGCTTTCATTTGTTCAGTTTTATGGTATGCTCAGATTTTGAGAACCACTCTAGATGCGCAAAACTATAAGCAACATAGGTTTGTACCTGTTTTGAATATTTTTTTTGGTTTTAGGTTCGAAACGCCGCCTTTCCCTTTTAGCTTGCATGTCTGCATGGTAACCGAACCCCATCTCAGGGAGGGCTTCTTGTCTCCTCAGATTAACAAGATTATGTTTGATTCGAATTACGAGTACCAGTTATGCCAGTTGTGCCAATTGGAAATTTGGAATAATTAAATGGACCAGGCAATAATTTTGTTAAGTTGGGTAATATAAAGAACATTAGTTGAAAGAGTTTGCTTGATTAGATTGAATGTCTTGGCTCTTTTTTCCTTGTTATGACGCCGATTAAAAAGCTCTTAGTTTGATATGCAAGGCTGATAACCCTTTTATCTTTCGACATTTAGTGCTCTTACTGACTGAGTAATTGCTTCTGATTTTACAGAATCAATAGCATAATGGATCATCTGAAGATGGCATTAGATTGCTTCTTTGCAGTGTGGTTTGTTGTTGGCAACGTATGGATATTTGGAGGTCATGCAAGTCCAGCCGATGCACCGAAATTGTACAAGTATGCCTTTATGACACGTGTCTTCTCTTTGTTCAGCTTGTCTACAAGCTGAAGATCACCAATTTTTGTTTCCTCTTCCTTTTGCAGATTGTGTATAGTTTTCCTTACTTTTAGCTGTATAGGATATGCAATGCCGTTTATATTATGTGCAACAATCTGTTGCTGCTTGCCTTGCATAATCTCTCTCCTTGGCTATCGGGAAGAGTTATCTCAAACAAGAGGAGCCACCACCGAGTGCATAAATAGTCTGCCAAAGTACAAGTTCAAGTTGAAGAACGGTGGGGGTGGATTTCGAGATCGTGATGGCTGTGAAACGGGCGAAGGAGGGGTCTTGGCTGCGGGGACAGAAAAGGAGCGTATGATATCTGGTGAAGATGCTGTAAGTTTTACTCAACTCTTTTAGATGCTCAAGTAGATTGGTGGACATAATTAAATAATAGATTTTGGAACCATTACTTGGCTGGTAAATTTTTGTGGCGGCCTCCTACTAGCCTGAAAAGTCGTTCTTATGAACTTGGAGGAAGTGGGATTTGATGTTTATCCATGTTTGATTAGACTGAATATTGGTTCCACTTATGCATTCCAGGTGTGCTGCATATGCTTAAACGTGTATGACGACAATGAAGAGCTGCGGGAACTACCTTGTGGCCATGTATTCCATGTAGAGTGTGTGGATAAGTGGCTGAAGATCAATGCCTGTTGCCCACTGTGTAAAAATGAGATTTGTGATGGCGGGGACGATGGTTCTTCTCCAACGCCACGAGATGCTAGCAGCAACCAACATTAATTTGAAGGCCTGAAGGAGGGATCCAATGTATGTGGCAGAAAGTTGCAGAGGATTTGATTGCAACTCAGCACCATCTACCTGCATTGAGTTTTTTCTTTTTTCTTTTTGAGCGAAGCAAATGGCTAGAAGAAGCTAAAGTTTTGCACTGGGGGTGCGCCAAGCATAGATTTGTACCATAATTTAGGTAATCATGGCTGCCTCAATCCATTTAACACCCATTCAACATTGTTGTGAACTGAAGATATATTGTCAATTGTACAGTATAGATTCAATAATCGTTTTATTTATTTGTATAGAGAGGAATTATGTTTGAAATATATTTGTTATACATTAATTAACTACTATTAATTATTAATTAATTAATATAAACCTGAAGTATGGTTACTGTTCACTGACCGTTTCATTAGCAGGCTGCCAAATATATATGGGGGGTGGTGGGGTGGTTTCAAGATGTCCCAAAAATAAGTTGCATTTAAAGCCAACATTAAATTTAGAATTACGGAGTATAGTTTTAAGTCTTTGTTATAATTGTTTTAACACTTTTATACATTGTGTTTAGAACGAACTGAATCGGAAGATTCAGTGGTTTATGGTTCACGATTAACCACTATATAATCGTTGACTAACTATCGATAGAATATTTCATGGGCAATAACATAAAGACATATATATTACACTAATATAGAAGGAATTCGTCACTAATTATAAACCATTTCAAATGCATATATCTTCCATCACCAAAAGTCCAAACAAATCCTTCAAACAATCTCACAAAAAAATATAATTTTTTTAGTAAGTTCAGTGTACCACATAAAGCTGACAAGGAGGCTAGGAAACGAAGAAAATGAAGCATAAATCAAAGTGGTATTTCATTTTGGATGATCTTTGTTTACGTTAAAGTATTTTGTTTCTTAATTTTTTGTGGTTAAAAAAGTAACCCAACGGAGCAGTCAAACCAGAGTGCTTCATCTAGTTTTATGTAAAATTGTTAAGAACTTTTCGGTCAATCCTAACTTCAAAACAAATGAACTGACTGGTATTCTAACCGGTATGGTGGTTTTATTGGTCTAACCACTTATCCGGTTTGATTCTTTTAACAATGCTTTTACACCATTCCTTTTATACGACACAACATCATGTGATATATACTTATATGATTTTTCAAATGTCAATAACTAGGTTGAGACATAGAAGGGGACAGATAAACTATTGGATCCAGATAGGTGTGATCCAAATAGGTACGTACTTATTTTATGGGAAGGGATAGGGTATAAAACTCACAACTACAAAATTGTTACAAAATCCTATCATTCACCATCTAATGACTTAGATTAATTCGTAACCAAAAAAATAAGCGGAATGTGTTAATCGGCGACACAATTTATATGAACACTTGCAACATATACATCATAATGAATATTAACGAAAGAGGGTTCATATTTGTAGATTTTCTTTCGGTGTACTTCTCTTATCTCCCTTCGAAATAAAATTTTAATATGACGTTGGGTGTCATATGTGCAACCACATCAATTTGTACATGTGTTGGATCCAAATAGTTTTTTGTGCACCCACATCGCTTACTCATACATATTTTTTCGAACATTGATGTATATGGAAATGAGGACTCATAATCTTGACAAATCTATTGCCACGAATTTGTTTTACAGATATTCATATTGCTACTTTGCTATTCATACGATTATCAAGATGTTCTATATGAACCTAACCTAATCGTCTATTTGGTAAAAAAAATTCTACATATAATAAATCCCACCTTAAAATCTATAACGCACCGTTGCAAAGCACGTGCAACACCTAGATTTCATTTAAATAAGTAAAAGACGTCGTAAATTATTTGAAGTCCTATCTTACATTCTTCTTCTGCATTTTGGAAATCTTACCTTATTTCCAAAATGACAAAGAAGACAAATCTACAATATAACAACTATGCAAAAAAGTTCCTTAAAAAAAAACAAGGGCTAATACCACTACAACACCTGAACTATCCGGAAAATGCCACTTGTGTCCTATTGTTTCCAATATTCCATCTGTGTCCTGAACTATTATTCCGTTAGTGTTGACCGGCATTGACCGTTAGTATTTAACAGAAAAACCAGTCAGCGTTGATGTGGCATCTGACGTGGAATTTTTATTATCAATTTTCATTTATTTTTCCATCTAAAATAAGGAAAACAAAATAAAAATTATGGAAAATTACAAAAATAAAACAATAACTCAAATCAATTCACTTTCTTTCTCTTCAACTTCAAAAGAAAAATCCGCTGTAGAGGTTGGAAGGGATCAGAGAGAGAGAGTAAAATCAGCAACGATGAAGACGATGAAGACGGGGCTGGAGAGGATCCGAGATAGAGGGGGAAATCGGCAACGATGAAGAGAGAGGAGTCCCCGTAGGTGGCTTCGTTTGGGAATCGGATTTGGCGGACTAAACTCTCAAAATTTCATCCTCAGATTGTGAGATTGAAATTCAAAGGTCGAATCCACTAGATAAATTTAGGAGCTCTCTCCCTCTTCTCTGCTACAGACTCGCTCTTCTCTCTACCTCTTCTCTTCCGACTGAAATCCCCACCATGGTCGAAGCCAACAAGAAGCAACCCACAGCCCAAGAACGGTGGAGACTGGAGCCACTAGAGAAAGAGAAACCCAGCTCCAGTAAATCAACGAGAAGACGAGGCGAGGGAACCACCAGATTTGAGAGACAGAGCCAACGATTTTGTTGCTCGAGATTTAGCGAGGGATGTCTCTCCGAGCTTAGAATCGCCAGTAGGAGGCGTCGGTGGAGATGGATCTGGTGACGGATTTTGTCAGAGTCATGATTCATAGCTCCTTTCTTCAGCTGCAGGTCCCGGCGAGTTGCAATTCTCCTTGCCGCCAATCCCGTCCAGATCCCCAAACTCGAAATTAGGGATTGCAAACGAAGGTCGAGCTGGCGGAACATTGTTTGCAGCTGTGGCTCCGGTGGCGGCTCTTCCACCCGCTTATCCTCAAATCCCGGTGGTGATTGTTCTGGCGGTGGTGGAGAAGGCACAGTTTGCAGTCGAAAGAAGAGGAAGAACGGAGGCGAAGAGAAGAGATTAGGTTAAAAAATATTCTTGAATTTAAAGTTTTTTCAATTTTTTATTTTCAAAGTTTTATTTAATTTAAATTAAAAATGTGAGGTGTCAATGACTTGGCATTGCCACATAAGCAAAAGTCAATTTTAAGTTGACCGCCGTTTGGTCAACTGTTATCTCTAACGGTCAACGAAATTGGCAGGATACAAATGGCACAAAATATAATAGTTCAGGACACAGATGGAATATTGGAAACAATAGGACACAAGTGGCATTTTCCGGATAGTTTGGGTGTTGTAGTGGTATTAGCCCAAAAAACAATTATGCAAACTTAACAAGTTGGAAACCAAATCAATAACTTAATTTGAAGTTAATCTAGCTTGCTTGGGAACTCGAGAACACCATAGAGAATCCTTGAGATAACACCATGGAGAAATGGTAAGTTGGCATGGTAAGAAGTTCATCAAAACCATACCTCTTTCCCCCATATAATAGAACTGATTAGAATTTCTAGTTTTAGAGGGAGAAGAGAGAGAAGGTGAAGGAAGGAGAAGAGGAGAAGGAGCTAAAAGAGAGGAGTCATCTTCCTCAATATCAAGTCTTCTTCCACCTCTTCTATGTAGCTTCTTCCCTCATTTATGGAGTAGTCCTCTAAGGTACTAAAGGTTCTAAACCTCAAATCTTAGTTTTAGGGTTACTATGTATGTATGTATGGATGGATGGATGGATGGATGGATGGATGGATATTTTAAGGTTTTAATGAATGAATGTGTTTATCTAGTTTATTTTAATGTTAGGCCAAATTCACCTGTATAGCCAAAACTTTGACGTTTTTGCCAAATATAGCCACTTTTGGAGAAATACCAGAAATAGCCACTTCCGTCCAATTGTTTGACGGTGTTAGTTAGAGTGCTGACTGGACAAACGGACCATCCGACGTGGCTTTTTTACCCAACCAAGTGAATTCCACGTAGGAAAAAAAAAAGTAAACGAAATGGTAAATGCATCTTTTACGCCTCAGCAGTCACTCTCCAACCTTTTCATTTTCCCCTTCCCTTACCCCGATTCGACCTCCAGAGAAGAACCCATCTTCTCCGACGACGACCTTCCACAGCCCCTCTTAGTCTTCTTCCTTCTTAGTCTTCTTCTTCCCGACTGAAATCGACGACCTTCCACAACCACTCTTCGTCTTCTTCATCCTTCTCTCAATGTCTCTTCGATCTCACCGCCGATATCGCTTTCTGGATCCACCCAACTCTGTTCCATATTTCCAGAGATGGCCATCGAAGTCTCTATTGTCCATTGCAAGCCTATCTTGCTTGCTCTGCCTGCGACAAGCCTTATTGAGTTTTGGGTTTCAACCGACGGACAGAATCGATGATTGGGGCTTGACGGCAGAGGCGGAATCGACTTTGGGTTTCAACCGCAGTCGTCGTCGTCCGTCGGACCTCACCGCTGCAACATTCAGATCCCGGCGTCAAAATCAACTATCTCGCTCCTTTGCTGGAAGAAAAGGAGGGAAGGGAGAGAGTGGACGAAGATTTCACGGCGGCGAAGGGAGACCATCGACGTTGGGGACGATGAAAGTGACAGAGAGTTTGCAACACGGCGTCGTCGAGCACAACGGCCGCCTTCTCCGGCGACGAGAACTCGCTCCGGCTCCTCCATCTCCTCTCAATCGCCACCGCGAAACAGAGGTTAGGGTTTAGAGAGAATGACGAGATCTCGAGGCAGAGGAACGTCGGGGGTGAGGGGAATCGCTCCAATCAGGTCGACATTGTGGGAGACGTTGAAGGAGAGGAGGGAGGACTGGTTGAGCGGCGGGATGGAGCCGTTGAATCGATTCCACTCGAGGCGGAGCGAGGTCAATCGATCGAGTAGGCGAGCCAGCGGGGCAAGGGGCCGGAGAGGTTGTTGTGGGATAGGTCGAGAGTGCGGAGGCGGTGGAGGGAAGCGAGGGAAGGGGGTAAGAGGGCGGAGAAGTAGTTGTGGTCGAGGAAGAGGGATTTGAGGTTGAGGAGGTTGGAGCGGTCGGGGATGGGGCCGGTGAGGGAGGTGTTGGCCTGGAAGACGCCGCCGAGGAGGAGGTTTTGGTGGCCGGGAAGACGCCGCCGAGGAAGAGATTTTGGAGGACGAGGTGGGAAACCCTAAATGGGATGGAATTGGGGAAATGAAAGAATAAAATTTTAAATTCTATTCACCTTATTTATGATATTTTTTTACCCATTAAAAATGACATGGCATCCTACATGTCAATGGATGCTGAGGTGGGAAGGAAAGACACGGTGAGGTGGCAGCCACATCATCTGTCCGTTAAATAGACTAACGGTGTTATTGACGTCGTCAAACTATGTAACGGAAATGGCTATATTTGTCATCGAACTTTCAAAATTCTGGCTATTTCTGGTATTTCTTCAAAAGTGGCTATATTTGTCACAACTGTCAAAGTTTTGGCTATGCAAGTGAATTTGGCCTTAATGTTATTCTATCTTTGATTGTGTTTGGGTAAGTCGCCCTAATCTTCTCTACTAGCCTACTTGAGCTTCTACATTGGGTATGGAGTTTTAGGGTTAGACGGGTATGCGCTATCAAGCAAATTCCTATGATGGTCGAGGCGACCAAACCCCTGCCATAGGAATGTCTTCCTAGATAGAACTCGGGATGAAACCTCGGTGTGGACGGTGGGTAGTACCAATTGAAAGGAGCTATGAGCTTAATGCCCCCGACACGATAGCGTAGATGAAGGTGACTTACATTGGTTTTGTGGAGGCATACTCAGAGGGGTATGGATAACCACGAAAGCCCACGAAAAAAGAGCTCACTCACCACATTCGATAAACCCTAAGTATCTAGACGTTGCATAGTAGTCCTAGGCTAGAGTGAGGGATAGTTCCCCAAAGTACATGCTTTTATCTTTATTTGATCTCTAGTCTAGTTAGTTCGCTCATATCCTCCAACACAAACCCTAAAACCGATCTGCTAGATAAAAACAACGTGGGAAGTTGGCTAGGATACCAGGACCCGAGTGAATACGGACTTGATTGCCATTATACGACAATGCCATTTTAGGTTAAACTTGGCCAATGGGGTAGTTGTTGATAGATGCTAACCATTGACAATAATCTGCACGGGTGAATGTGATCACTGATGCTGTCGAGGACATGGTAAATTCAGCCTTGCAGAAATCTCTTCCCATAACCATTCGTACATGTTCTCGAGAACACTGTATTTCCACATGTTTTTTCCAACATTTCTTGATCATTTAGCCTGGAGAATGATCGTTCTTTGGCCTATTTCGTGCTAGGTCGTGTTCTTTTGTCATATTTCAGGTCCTAGCAAGTAGGGATGCATAGGCGTAAGTTGCGGGTCAATCGGAGGTCATTTGGCCACTCAAAAGTGGAGCTGAATCAGAAACACGGTCGTGTTTTGTTCTCTTGTGCCCGTGTCTAAGCTCGCGGGAAGAAATACGGGCAGGGCTAAAACACTGGCTGAGAAACATGACCGTGTTTCTGCTCCTTTCTCTGGAATAAGTCTCTTTTTTTTTTTTTTTTTTTTTGAGGGGGGAGCTAAGTTTTGGTTACCAAACACCCAAGAGACTAACCAAAGAGAGAGAGGGCGATCTTGGAGTGGAATTGGAGGATTTCTTCGCCTTAAAAGCTCGAGAAACAAGCTCAGGCATGAAGATTGAAGATATGGAAAGTTTTATTGTATTATCTCTCTTCTCTATAGAGTAACTTCTCTTGACTTACGTTTTGAGGAACCCTAGATTTGTATGCTAGGAAGAGTTGTATGAACTCGAATTCATGATTGATTTACATTGTATATTCAGTTGAGGTTTAATTCATAATTGCTTGAATCTTGATCACATTCCTGCAGTTTCAGCTTCGACCTAGAACAATAGTATCTGCATAAGTTAAAAGATCAACTTGAATTGGAAGTAATGAGTTGATTGCACGAGAGTCAATCGATTCACTGCTCTGTACTGGCCTTAAAACCTAGTAGATAAAGTTTGAATCTTATTGCCTTGGTTAGGTTATTCCAGTGGAGGTTAGTCGACCGCTGAGTAATTTATTGAAAAGGGTCTAGAACACTTCAGTCAAGACTCCAGACTGTTTGAAAACTTTCCGCAGTGTAAATTTTAGCTGAATTGAATTGGGTGACTACAACTTGGTTTAACTGCAATTTCGAGGAAATCATACTTAAGTGAGTTCACAACCTATAATTAGTAGTATAACCTAATGTTGCTCGTATGAGTAGTTTAGTCAATTGAAGCAATCAAGAAGAAGACTATAGATTCGGGTTTCATTACCAACCCCCTACTACGAAGAACTATTAGACCCTTGGGCATTTCAAGAACAATCTCCTTATCAAGAAGAACTCTTACAATCAGAGGGGTCATTAGAGTTGGAGTTAACCATGACTGCCTTCACGAGCCATTCTGCAAAGCCATACTACACTCCACAGCCTCGTGGAGCAGATTGCTCAGGACGCTGCGAGATCCTTCTCCAAGATAGACCTCCTAATTCAAATCATTGATCCTCCTGTTGCTCCCCTTGACCCTTCCTTTCTCTGTGAAATGGAGGAGGTTGTTTAGCGCTCAATGAAGCAAATAAAATGGGTTGAACAAGTTTGTGCACAACTTGATCAAGATCGCCTTTCTGCTACCATACAATAAAAGGAGAATAAAGGAGGCTATGAGGAGTGAGGACATTGTGGAGCATATGCAAGTTTGCAGCACAATCTCACGTGATGATCAAGAATGTCTTATTGTAGGCAACCGTACCTTTCCCCATTACACCTCGAGCTTTGAAGATAAGATCAAGAGTGAGGAGATGCAACTAATCTTATTGAGAACCTTGCATGGCAACTTGCTCTTAAATCCATGTTGGAAGAAAAAGAGCGTAAAAGACTGAGGTAAGAAGTTGTGGAGGATGACGGATGTGAAGCAAAATGATAAGCCTGTCACATATATAAAGATATCTAGACTCCGTAGCAAAATTTTCATCATATGAAGCTGTGTTTATACATGGCAAGAAAGATAAGAATTTTAAAGAAAATAAATTAAAAAGAAAACCAGGAATACGAAAAAACGGTACAACAAGGCTCCCTACTCCTTCAGCTCTACTGTTCCATAATACGCCGAGGACAACCAGCATTCCAAGTTCCAACCACCATCGACAATTCTGCACTTGTTCCTGTGAACTAGAGAGATACAAACCGTTGCATCTCTAGTTTGGTGCAATATTATGGAAAGCTGCCCTTGTATCTGAGATCTCGCCCAATGTAGCAACTGTGAGTTAATCAAAAACAAAACCCTCTAAAGGACATCATGTGCAGTCTGTTATACACATTTGCAAAGGAATGCATTTCCCACTTGGCAGGGCAGCAAGGTATAGGGATAGTTATAGTGACAAAGAGGTGGAAAACCTTTTTTTTAGTTTCAAACTGATAGAAGAGGATGATCAGCATAAAGAATACAAAACCTCTCAAATCATCCCTTTTGCGAAATACATTTCTCCTCAAGCTGCACGGCTAATTCTGGATCACAAACGTAAGCACCAGCCGAAACAATTTCTCAGATGGTCAGTTCCTTGAACCCTTCTAACTTCCCGTTTGATGCAATGGAATCTGTGATCTTATTGCATTGAGGATGGCTTATAACACTTCCATTCTCAGGGGACTTGCCACCAATTTGATTGTACACTGAGTCGGGCATTGCAGAGCTCAGTTTGCCTTCAAAGTACGTAGAGTATGGGAAGTACTGAGCACATCGACCTTTCCACCCTGGCAAGACATTTGAACATTTATTAAAATAGTTGCAAAAATGAGTCTGATTACAACGCTAGAATTTGTGAGCTTACTGATCGCAGCATCTTGGTCAGCAAGAACTGTGTTTATCAATTTGTGGATAGCAATGCAGTCCTTCAGTCGCCATTCACTCACTGCTCCAAGCGCCCCACCACTGCCCCCAATACCATTGAAATTAGAAAAATGTTCCAGCATGGTATAAGTTTCACATTAAGGTATTGTCGTAATAGTGAGTAGACTTGGTAGAAAACCTTACCTGGGAACAGGGTTGTTAGATGATTCTTCAATCAACCTAATAGCTTCAGATTTCTTGCTAGGTTCTAAAACAAAGAGCATTTCTGCAACTGCAGCTCTATGCATCAAAGAGACTATAAAAAACAAAATGAAGCAAACATCAGTTCGGCAATTTAAAGAATATCCACCATTTCAAAAGCAAAATACAATGCAGAAGGGTAGGAAATAAACCTTTGTGCTTCTCAAGGAAAAACAGATTCGCTTCCAGGAGAGATTTCTCATGCAATTGACTACATTAAAATAAGCATGGATCAACTTATCTAGTTGAAAGCCAATAACATGATCACTTCTTAATGGGGAAACCAATAGGGTGACGGGTTTCAAAATAAACCTGAGTGACAAACGCTCTGCTTGTATGACACTCCAAATAAGCTTCTCAGTATCGATTACTGGAGTAGTTGTTGAGTCTACTTTATGGAAGAACCTTATCTACAGCACAGAAAGTACAGAATTAAAAGCTAGAAAGGGAAATGACAGCTATGCCTACATCAAGATAAAGCCCAAACACTTGATGGTGATATTGTACATACCAAACATCGATGAGAATTTGGGTTTTCAGCATCCAACCTCAGCATCTGCTTCAAGGCCTGCGGGAGTGGTGTTACAAAAAAAAAGTCACTTTAACTAATAGTTATAAAGACAAAGCTACTCAAGATATTTGGACGATAGAGTTGGTCTCACATTGCATATCAACATTTCACACATACTGTAGACAATGAAAGAGCTCATTTCTAGAAGACTAAGATACTATCAATTGTCAAAATCACACCCCACACTTTCATGATAGCCAACATCTAAGAAATATAAATTTTTAATGAACAACCAAGTTATTCCAATACTCAAATTGGATAGAGAGATACCTGAAGAGCAAGTAGAACCTTTTGCTTTCTAATATTTACTTCAAAAGAAAGCAAGTGTGTCTCGAAAGAGTCGGGAGAGTTTTTCTGAAGCAACTTCAGGTACTTGGTAGCTTCCAGCAACACGTCTTCAACCTGAATGATTGTGTAATCAGATAGGACAGAAAAATTCGTTCTGAATTATAGACATCACATATATCGCAACTGACAGAAGGAAAACAAAGGAGGAACCACAAGTAACCTGCAACAACTTTTCCCCCTTCGGGTCTGGATCTACGGGTTTGACATGTCGCTTCCCAGACTTTGAGATACTACTAGCACTTTGTTCTTCATTTTTCACTTCTGCTTCCTGATGAGGAACATAACCAATCATTGTAATGATAGAAACCATATCAGGATAAGGCCAAGGAACCAATGGGTATTACCTTCTTCGCTCGAGCTTCTGCCTTCCTCTGCTTTTGCCTCATTTTCTTTTTCTGAGAAGGAAGCAACTTTGATGTTTCATCTTCTTCTTCAGTAGTGGACTTGGGCGGGGAATCATACAACTTCAAGTAACACCTGTTACATCCAACGCCAGTAAAATAAAGCACCACATGATAAAGAAGATATCAGCAGTGCAAATCATAGCTGAAAGTTAGGATAAGAAATCAATGAGTTGATTGACCAGCAAAACAGATGGTGAGGTCTGTAGAATGGTGTTCATAATGATGAGGGTCTCAAAGTAATATGTGAAGGCGAAAAAAGAAGAAAAAAAAAAGAGACACGGGACTAGGTAATCCTGACTGCTGGAAAACTAAACATTCTCAGCCTAATTTTTCCCCCTATGTCTTGAAACCATAATGCAATTTATGGACGTGACGAAATCTTACTGCAGGTTTCTGGAAAGTGTAGCTGCAACATCCAATAAAATGAAAAACAGAAAAGACTTTGAAGGATGTACAGAAAAATAAACAAAATTTGGAAATTATAGCTGCAACATTTCCTTACTACCATGTTTTTCAACTTTAAATCCCAGAAGGACATCAAAATCTTACATTGTTGAAACAGCCCAAATAGAAAAGCTTTTCCTGTCTTCTTTGTTCAAGTCAATTATAGTAACCTATTGACTCAAAAAGGAAAATCACAAAGCTAAACACAATTCACATCTGTTTCATTGTTCAACTCACTGATAATAACAATCCTATTCAGTATTCACTCATAAAGAAAAATCAGAAAGTTAAACACAATTTACATATCTTGAATCTGTTTCTGTTTATGCAAATTGGCTTTTACCTGATAGCTCCAGAAGCTGCTTTCTGGAAATATGAGTGAGAATGGAGACGATCTTGAAATTTAAGCATTGCAACATAGGCGCGAAGAGTCATCTTTCTTAGGCAATATGAATGGAAATCAAATTGATCTTCTGTAATATCAGCATAATGCTTCTCGACGGCCAAATACTTCTTGAGAGCTCGGCCTAGATCACCCTGGCGGAAATAACTATCCCCAGAAGCCAATTCATACCTTCCACAAACGCAAATTAAACAAGGTCATTACAGAGCAAACTGACAGAGAAAATGTAAGAAATCGGCAGATAAGCTAGCACTCGAGACAGACCACATGCACTGCATGTCATGAAGGTTGGTATGCTGGTCCCCATCTTTGGTGAACAAAACAGCGGTTTTCTCAGCCAAAGGTACCTTCAAAAGAAGGTTCAACATCAAACACAATTATGGAAAGAGGATATGCAGAGCATTAGACACCTAGTAATAGTAGATGGGACAAAACAAAACAAAACAAACCTGATCTGCCTGCAACATACGTTTGACACATTCACTGTTTATGTACCGATCAGCAAGATCCATGCACCTAGCTTCATCTGCCAATGCAGCAGCTGCTGGTAAATCCCCAGCATGCTTCATAATACGGCTCTGTGATCCAGAAAAACAACCAGACTCATGCACCAATCTCAAACTTTTTCTTTTTTTTTAAATCTCAAACAATTTCTAATAATCACAGAAATCCCAAAATAAATTCATTTGATTCTCTTAAGATCTAAGTCAAGGATACAACATAAACAAAGGTTAACTAATAAGAAAGGCAAGATGGGGTGAAGCAAATGCCAGATACTATTGTCACCAAGCCCATGAATGGAACCAAATGAAATGTCCCGTTTAGCTAACATAAAGCTTCAGTGGATCGGGAAAGAGAAAAGAAAACAACAGTAAGGAAAAAGCCTAAAAGATTGACGGGTTAACCTACCTTGACCGAGTACAAATCAATCACTGTTGGAGTATGTGCTATAGCTTCGTCAATCTTGGTGAGAGCAAGGTCATATTGACCCCTTCGGTCGTAATGCTGCAGGAGGAATAGGCAGGCATGGTTAGAAAGTCATCACCATAGTTGGAACTAAATACAAGAAAATAATAGGAGAAACCATCAGTGAAATGAAAGGAACCTGTGCTAAGTAAAACAATGTCCAAAGGAGTGTTGAAGGGGGCTCTTTGTCCACTCTGCACGGAGTGTCACAAAAGCATTACAAAATGTATACACAGAAATAATTCATGATCAATCCAGCATCTTCAGCATGTTCCAACCCCTCCCTTTCTCTTCCATTCAGATATCTCAATGATTCAACCAAGGCATTGTGAATTGTCTGATGGCCAAAATGTCATTCTTTTAATGCCAAAGAAGGCATTCCACAATGACTCATCCAAACAACCACCGAGAGAATCACTTGGTTCGAGGTTACTTCTAATCAATAGATAAACCAACGAGAGAATCACTTGGTTCAAGGTTCCTTCTAATCAATAGATAAACCAGGCATATTGATAGGTACCCAATGACTCGTTTTGAGAATTGTGGCCAAATAGCATCAACCAAACAACCCCAAAAAGAATCACTCGCTTCCAGATTCCTTCTAACCAAGAGAGAGACCAGACATATTCATAGGGCCACTGGTTGAGCCATATTAAAGACATCAGTATCAAAGATTTCCCATCTTGTTTTCCTTCTGTCCCTAGCTCAATGTCATTAACTTACATCTAAGTGGAAAATAAATTATGCAATAGCTAATCGCATTAACTTTAACTCCTAGTAGAAGAATCCAAAGCCGGAACATGACACTGTCGGCATTTGTCATCGAGACAATGATCCAATTTTACAATTAGATAACCATATTACCTTCCAGGAAAAGTCTCATTGATCCTGATTGAATGCTCCAACACAAGAATAAGCTGCTCCAGTACCTCAGCCTACAGACATGTCATCAAAAGGAAAGACACATTTTTAAGACACCCACCCAAAAGTTCCTTGTCGCTCATGCAAGCTGTGCAACGCGAAGAAACAAAGAAAAATATTGAAGTAAATAAAGTATCAAAAAGTAAAATGGGAAACTAACCTTGCCAGGATGGTCATATAAAGGAGACAGATCCGAGAATAATGAAGGAACTCCCTAGAAAGCCAGCAAAATTACTTTGAAGAGCACAAATTTAACAAGGGGTTAAGCAAGCTGATTAAACTACGGTATGAGTACCTTTGTCAGAAGCGGTCTTATATACTTATCAGCAGCTTCTTGAAACTGGTTGCCTTGGAGAAAATCAAGTGGGATTCTCTAAAATTAAAGGAAGAGATGGTATTACAACATAAGCTCCAAAAAAAAAAATCAGCAGATATCCATGTAGCAATATGCATCACTGAAAATAAAGTGCAATCAGAGACAACAAGTAAAGAAATAAACAGTGATTTTATACCACCTACATAAATGGATTGATGCCTATTCAATCAAAATAACAAAGTGCAACTTAGAACAGAATTCTGGGCGTGTAATCACCTTGACAGCAGATGACCATGTGTAATCCTGACCCAATGACTTGTATAAAGCATCCAGCTTATCAATTTCATCAGAAGAGTATTGACCATTTTCAGAACACAGTCCAACACACTTTTGTAGGCCTTCATAATATCTTAAGAGTGGAAAGAGAAACAAAATTAAATCCTTCCTCCAAGTTTCAAGACTAATATCCAAAGATAAGTATCCACGAAGGAGTTATATGTGTAGGCTACACAATTGGATCTTCAGGAACAGCTCCACAAAGGGTTATATGGTTGAGGATAATCAGCATTCTTACGTAGTGTATCTGAATATTCTTTCACTTTGCATTGAAAGATTCACGATTATCACCTGTAATTGTCAGGATTCATTGAAAGCAATGCCTTGTACAGGTTAGCACCTTCTTCTAAGCGTCCAAGTTTTACCAGAAGAGTAACCTCTTGCTCCTTGAATGACAATTTATCAACCTGAAATTTTTAAATCATCAACAGTGGTCAATTATCTATCAAAAGTTCCATCATATTGACTTGCCAAGATTTTCGCTTTCAAAACTTACAATTTTGAACTGCTTCTTCTGCAACTCATCAAAAGCTCTCTCGTGTGAGCCACATTCCTCTAGTAAAGATACCTAAAAAACAATTATAATTTTTTTTAAAACTGCATATAGCCATACTAATCACTGCTCATTTGTAGACATAAAATCAATCCACAAATGCAAGAGATAGGTTCTGTCTCTCGTAAAATATATAAAGAAATGTATATGGGCCCCCAAGTTCAACTGAGAAATCACTTCTTATATCACTTATGAGATCATGCGCACAATAAAAAGCATATCCTGTTTCTATAAATGCATTCCTGGGAACTAGATGCTGAGAGTATTGAGCCAAGCATTTAATAACAATAAAGAAACAAGTACACAAAGAAAAACAAAATAAAAAGAGCACAAACACTTCGCTTGAACCCAGATCCTTATTTTGCACAATTCCAGCAAGTGCAGATGAACAAAAAAACAAAGTTCAACAGCTGAGAAATTTAATATATAAACCCAGAGCTACAAAGACATCTTGAAAGCTTCACAGATATTCACTGTAACATAATTTTAAAACCTCATATCAAGTGACGGATACACTAATGGCCCCAAGACCAAACACAATATTCCACGTTTTTTAATACAATAACAATTCCTGCATGTTAGATTCTGAAGATAAAAGATACGAAAAAGCTCATGCAAAGATATGGATGAGTTTGTGTTCACAATCCCACCTTATATAGAAGCATTTCCCCATGTTCACATCGTTCATTATCGGGAGGATAGTCATCCTCTAATGTTCCTTCATAGGCCTCGAGAATTTCAACTGCTTTCGATGCACTGGTAAAGAACAGGTGAGATGATTCAGTGGAAGAAGAAAAGAACAATCCTGTCTCAAATCAGAGAAGGGAATTAAGACGCACGTCAAGCCAACATCTATGATAGGCTCTAGAATATAGCAGTCTAATTTCTAGCATCTTAGATATCTACAAACATGAAAAAATCATGATGTTTGTTCCAAGGTAACCTTTAGCAGTAAACAAACTAGGTAAATGCAAAGGTCAACCGTACTTTGAGTTCAAGTGGTGAGCAACAGCAAAGCCAATCCAATTCATTCTATGATTTGGCTTCAGGGTCAGTAGCTGTTGCCTAGTCTGAACAAAACCATCCAAATCCCGCATTTGTGCCTGCAAGAGAAACATAACAAGGTCACACTACACAGTTTTACAAGGTAAGTATGTACTCATGCAAATACATGTTAACGCGGGCGGAATGCAGTGGACGAGTTGAAGGGAATAATCCTACCACAATTGCTAATCGCTAGCTTAAACAATTTCCTAAATGACTTACTCAAACAGTTCTTTAAGCATTGTATGAACGCTACTAGTTTCGATTCTCTCTTTCACCAAATTGAGGTGCCCTGACTGCTAAAACAGAGCAGCCAACAAACTTATAATGGCCTCGACGAAGAGGTTAGGCCCATCAACACCTTTGGGCCTTCTCCAATCTCCCCAAACAGCATATAACACTTATCATCCAATAATTAAAGGTTCATATCAAATACTAACATTTCTTGTTTTCGGATTCAGTCGATAAAGTATGGCAGTAGTACAGCTTTTTTCAGAGGCAACACATAACACTTCTTAACCAGCAATGAAAGGTTCCTATCAAATGCTACAATTCCTTGTTCTTAAAATCAGTAGATAAAGTAGTAATAAGCTCTGAAATTACTAAATTCAAAGAGCACAATTCTTTCTCGATGCATGCAGAAAGACATTCCTTCTGCTCTCTGCAGGTAAGAGACATTTCTACTTCTCAAACCTACTGCACCAGATCCCAGCTGGTACCCAGAATAGTACCCACATGTTTTCTATCTGCCCTCAAATAATCAAACAAGATGTAGGCTACTAATATTCAGTAGTTACAAGTACACAGATAAAGAATCATTCTCCAGTAACAAAGAAGATGAGGCGTGGATCAGAAACCATATGTTTCTACTTTCTACAACCAGTGTGAAACAGATACAAGTACAACCATACAGCCAGTCACCATTGCTTACATGATTCAACAAACATAAAACAGGAGCTTAGGACTTCAAAAGATATCTCACATTAAGAAAAGGTTGTTGGGATGGAAGTTTTTCTAAATGAGTTGTATTTCATAAAAATGAATGTTATTGAGTTCATAGGGGTGCTTGTTTAGATTAAGAAAAAGGGCAGCTGACATCCAACAAAATGTGAATGTCATCCCCCCCCCCCCCCCCCCCCCGGGTGAATTCATGCAATTGGAACGGACTGAACAGACAGTTACAAAATGCATCAAAATCAGTAGTGAAAGTAACATTGAATAATAACATGGTAATATAAGTAGCATCGGGATGATAAATGATAACACCACCAGGATGACCCTAACCCCCATAGAAGTTAAAACTCAAAGGAAATTGAAAGAACCAGAAGCAAACTGAAGTTCTGTTCCATGCAGAAGAACAGTAATTTGTACCTGTAAGAGCGACAAGTCACGCAGTATTTCAATATTGTCTGGATCTATTCTCAGTGCATTGCGATAGCATTTGATAGCTTCTCTGTACTCCCTATCAGACCGATAGAGCAGACCATATACATGCCAGCAAACATGACTTTTAAGATCATTCTGCAGAAAAAGCATATACACAACACATATGTTCTTCAGAAAAAGAAAAAAAGCAAAGTAGAAACAACAAGGCCAAGTACTCTGACAGACAAACATATTATTTCAACCTTCAGACCCAGGCGGACAAGTTCATATGCTTCAGGTTTACGATCCATGCAATTTAATGTCAAGCCCTTCATCGACAAAGTTTCTGAAAAGGGAAAGAAAGGTTAGAGCAAAGGATAAATTTCAGGCAAGAAAAATAACTCTTTACATGATAAAACAGATGCTACCCTGGACCTTTTAGGGAATTGTACTCCATTGAATTGGATCTATACCATTGTTAGAAATGACACGAAAATGATGGGTTGCCGCCAAGATATATAGCTTCAGTTACTAGGTTCATGCAGGTAATTACACAAGTATCAACTACAATTCATAAGTACAGACTACCCCTGCGTTGTGTCAATGTCAGTACAAGGGAGCATCTAATTGTTAAAAAATTTGGTTTCCTTTCCAGTTTCGAGGACCAAATTTTCTACCAAAGCACTTCAGATGTTTAGAGTTACCACTATCTTGTCCTCAACAAGAATAGGTAAAACATACATGCATGCACCATAAACAGAGACATCACTCAATCTCATAGAATACTACTCAAGCACTTTAAATTCAAACCCGCGTACATTTAGCAGTAAGCATTGATCATAGGATCCATGTAAGGAGTAAAAGTTGAAATTCTCATAATAAACAACGACCCAGGAACTGATGTATTGCTTCAAGCTTCATCAACTGATTCAGCGAGAAATTACCTCCATGGTCAGGGAACTTTTTCAGTATAGCATCAGCAGCCTTCAACCCCTTCTTATACTGCTTGGTTTCATAGGATTTCTGCCACATTTTATCAAAGATGAAAGAGTTAATAAAGATGATTTGACATGAAATTGGTCGCCTAACTGACTAAGAGAAAAGAATGTCAAAACAAGAAGCAACATGGAACAGTGAATATAAGTACGATCAAAATTTTAGAAGTAATGGTAATGGCACACAAACTCTGCAGAAATGAAGTAGGTGCGTAATAAACATCCACTACGAACCATCTCTAAAATCATTAGGACCAAGTCCAGGAATTCGGGAGTTGTAGCAAATCCTAACTAGGTCATGGTTGGGTAATACTCTAATTCATTTTCAGGAAATGCAATGGCGAACTCCCAAACTTGCAGTGTAGCTTAGTTGAAAATGAAATGTTCTACAGCACCCTAGTCTAGATGCTTAATGAAACACATCATAACTCAACAAGATTGGAGATTTTTGTAGCCTACTAACCAAACCAAATGTCACCGTGCATTGTCCACTTCTTGCATGAACATCATTTCATCAATTAAAAGATATAATGTAGAACTGATCCACCAAATGGAAGCAGAAAAAGAACAAAGTGAGAGCAAGACCCCTAGAATCGACTTCCCTTTCGATACAATTGCTCAGATCACATAACTACATTTTCCCAGCCTAACTCGCTAAACAAACTACTAAGCTCATCCACAAACCATAGGAGAGTATAGTCTAGTTCGAAGCCAAGCAAAAAAAACTTCCAAACTACCAAGCACCGAAACCACCATTCATCCATCTTAGTCAAAGAATCAAGACCGGCGGGCAGGGGTTCAGTAGAATCGGTGGCGCAAGCAAAAAGGGAAAAGACGGTGAACGACAGAGGAATAAGAATTTGCGAGCGGGGAAGAAAGAGGGCTTACAACGATGAGCTTGAAGAGGTTGGCCTCTTTCGGTGGCAAAGAAGCTCCCATTGTTGGTATCAGAGAGGGAAGGAAGATGGACAGATAGGGTTTTAGGAAGATAGAGATGGAAGAGGTCGGGATTTAAGGATTAATGGAGAAGAAAGATTTGAAACGGCAATCGGAGGACGGTGGAGTGAGAGCGGAGGAAGGAAGCGAAGTGGTGGAAGAGGGAAGAAGAAGAAGAAGAGCGGAAGCGGGGGAAGTCGTGGTGGCGTTTATCTGCTGTGCAAACCCTTCAGTCCCCGCTCGCACACAGCAACCCTACTAGTGCACTGCAACAGTTAGCGGCTGAATATTTATTTTTTTGGTTTACTCATTTTTAAGTCCGTCCTAGTTTCTTTCGACCCGAAAAAGTCCGTCCTTTCTCCCTCGTACCACTACTCGTTGCTATGTGCTTGTAAAACACCTTAAGTCCTTAACACACAAAGAAGCGCGCAACGCACAAGGTACGCTCCGTTCCGTTCCGTTCCTCTCTAAGGTTGTAAAACCATGGTATGGTTCTTATAAAAAAAAAATTAGGATAAATATAATTTAATATCCAAACCTTTTATTTTAAACAATATAATAGCCAAATCTTTTCGAAACAATCTAATATCCAAATCGTCAACTTTTCGTCCGTTTGACCGTTAGTTGACACTTCAAAAAAGCTTTGTTTAGGGAAAATTGTCACAATACAACTTTGTTTTCTTGTTTTGGCATTGTAGATCACTGAATATTTAGATATTCTATACCATCATGGTGGAGTCATGGACTTCTCGGGTTTGGAACCATGATATGTTGGTGGTTTTTCAGAGAAGATATCGATAGATTTTGATGAAGTGTCGTACTTCAAACTTGATGAAGTGTCAACAAACAGTCAAACGGACGAAAAGTTGACGATTTGGATATTAGATTGTTTTCGAAAAGATTTGGCTATTATATTGTTTAAAATGAAAGGTTTGGATATTAAATTGTATTTACCCAAAAAATTATTATCCAAGAACTTCAGCCTCATGTATCATTTTGTCACCGCGGGTCCTACTAAATCTGGAGTCACTTGCAATCAAATTCGACGCCAACGAGCATTCGCCCCCAGCAGCCTTATATCTCCGGGAGGACCAACGAATCTCACTTGGATTTGAATTTGGGATCTGCAACTTCCAAACTTTCACTGTCGCGACAGCTGTACCGTCTTACCTTTGGTCACTAAACTTTCATTTTCGTTTCCTGTTTTCTGTTTTCATGCCATAAATTTGGCAACTGAAACGAGAAAACTTGTTTAGTTTTCATTCTGTTTTCTATTCATTTCCAACTATCAAAACAGAAAGTGGCAACTTCCTGCTGTTTTCCAAAATGACAAAATGTTGTTTTCACCTGTTTTCAACATCTATTTTTGAAAACAGAAAACAAAAATGAAAGTAAACATATAAGTTTATCAATTTACTAGCAAGATAGCATATTTTGATCATTTATATATAAAATTTTGTCCAACTTTATATTATAAAAGCATATATCAATCACAAAATAGTCATGGCCTTTACTCTTGTAATTAAGTAATTTGACGCTTGGATACATTTATGATTTCTAATAGACTAATATTAAAAATATCAATGTTTATCTTATGATACTTGGATTCTTTAACGTTCACGTTCTCAATGTTTATCATAGTCCAACTATTTATGATTACATTCTCTAATCTAAACTTTTCCTTTGTTAGTTATCTTAAAAATATATATTGATTAACGATTCTTGGTGCTTAGACTATTTTTAACTTAGACACTTAATTTAATTACACATGCAATAACACCATAAAATAATTTCGGTGCATATGAAACGTTATGTCGTATGAATAATAAATTGGTAATATATTAGTGTGAATATTAAAATGTAAAGGGACCTCCTACAGTAATTTGAGTATAATTTTAAGTACTGACACGGTTACAGAAGCTTGGAGTATTGATGTGAAGGGCTATTCCTATTTTGTGTTTTATGGTAAACTTCGAAGGGTCAAATTGAAGTTGAAGAAGATTAATTTGTGCAAACTCGAGCCTGTGAGTTAGAGATGTTGCAAACTATTCTCCTTAGTGCGCCTGATGAAAGTAAGGTGGAGGAAGAAAGAATACTTGATGCTAAATGTCAAGAATTGCAGAAGGCTGAGGAAAGTTTTTATAAGCAAAAAGCTCAAGTACAGGGGGTTTAAGAAGGGGATTTGAATACATCTTTATTTCATCGCTCTGTGAAAGTCAATACTCATCGCCAGTAGATTACAAGATTGCTCAATTCCCAAGGATATGAGGTGACTAATATCAAGAAAATGGGACAAGTTGCGGTGGATTTCTACAAGAAGTTGATTGGAGAGGTAAACCACGATGTTATTATCAAACCTTCTAGCTTTTATGAGCAACTTTTGCTCAAGAAGCTTTCACCAGAGGAGGCTCTTTCTTTGGTTGCTCCAGTCACTAGAGGAGAGATTTGTCAAGTGTTTAAAAAGCTGGGAAGGGATAAGGCCCTAGGTCTAGACGATTTCCCATCAGAGTTTTATTCACTTCATTGGGGTCTAATAGGTGGTTTGGTTGAAGAGGTGGCTTTGGAGTTCTTTCAATCTGGTATTATGCCTTGCATTATTAGCTCCACTCTTTTCACTTTAGTGGCTAAAATCCCAAATGTTGAGCAAATGAAGGATTTTCGTCCCATTTCATGTTGCAACACTATCTACAAAGGGATTTCGAAGATTATGGCTAACAGGTTAGCAACTGTCTTGCCTTCTCTAATCTCCCCATCTCAATATGCTTATATCAAAGGTCGGTCAATTTGTGATAACATTCTGCTGGCTTCAGAATTAGTTAAGGATTATCATAGGAAACGAATCACTCCCCGCTGTGCTATTAAGATTGATATTATGAAGGTCTTCGATTATGTGGATTGGCCTTTCCTTTTCTCCGTTCTTACTATGATGGGGTTCCTTGATCTGTTTCTTAAGTGGTTGTAAGCCTGTGTTTGTGGTCCTAAGATCAGTGTAGGCTTAAATGGAGGTATCTGTGGGGGTTTTTTATATGAAACCTGGTCTTAGGAAAGGGGACCCATTGTCCCCCTAACTTTTTACGGTTGCAATGGAGATACTTGATGCAATGTTGAAAATGGCAGCCAGGAAGAACCAGATTCCCTTTCATCCCAGGTGTCAACCGTTAGCAATTACACACCTGTGTTTTGCTGATGATTTGCTTGTATTTACAAATGGTTCTATTCGTGGAGTTGCTGGTGTTTGTCGGGTTCTAGATATGTTCTATAAGGTGTCTGGTCTGAAATGTAACTCGGACAAGTGTCAAACTATTATGTGGTGATTTAGTAGGTTGTTCTCCTTCTTCTTCAGATTCGTCATGGAACCTCTCTTATTCTTCTCGATGTTGATGAGAAATGACATTTCTTCGTAGCATTCTTCCACCAAAATGAGGATGATGTTGATGATTTCTTTCTCGAAGAAGTCTTTCTTGTTCTTTTCGAGCTTGCTCAACACATTCTCTTTTAACTCTTTCTTGCTCCGCCCTCTCTTACTCTCGTTTAGCACTTTTCCTGGATTTCGTTCCACCACGGCCAGACGTGCATTGATGTTGGATTGATCAGCTCGCCAAAATTGAGAGAATCGATCCATGAGAACATTAAGAGCGTCGTCACTCAATTCGCCCATTGATGGATTACCTTCACCAGCCATGATAATCAACTTCGCTACAAAAACTCGTACACAAGGTTATTTCGTCAATTCCAAGTTGCAAATGATATGTAAATGACCTCACAAGCACTTCCTTAAGTGTTTTCACTTAATAGATGTCGCTCTTTTTTTACCACTCATGTTTGCACTCAAAATTAATGGCTTTTACCCTCTATTGAACTCACAAAGCCTCTTCTCTGGCACTCAATCAACTTTGATTGAATGAAAACCTTCAAATGCAAGTAGATTCAGCTGGATAGGCTAGAAACAATGTTTAAAACATTTTTGGAAACAAAGGCTATTCTAACCTAGAGCTGCAAATCTTTTTAAACTAAGAATTTCAAAAAAAATTCAATAGCAACTGCAATTAAACATACTAGAAATGAACACTAAAGGCTCAATTCAAAGCAATAGATGCAAGTATCAAAACTCAATCTTGAAAACGATTTGCTTAAGACAAGGAATGACTAATTTGGTTTGTGTTCTTTGCCTTTTGCGAGTCGTAATCTTTTGACTCCTTCGATTTTATTTTTTATATACTATAGAATGGCTTTTTCCAACCAAATCAACTTTAGAAGCAATAGAAATTTGAAATTCGAATAACAAGATTGAAAACTTAAAATATCTTTAACGAATTTGAAGAACACTTTGCAACAAGATGATCGCACAAGAAGGTAGGGATATGTATTCCTCTGCTTTGAAATGATGCTCTGATACCAATTGATATGATCCTACACCAAAAATGAGTCTTAAAATCAACAATCAAAGTACGCAACACAATCGGTAGAAATTGGAAAACACAAGATGATGGGAAACAAAACCAAACGCAACCAAATCGATAATTTAATTGAATGGAAGCACATGATCGAAGGATGTGGACCATGATAGGGATGATGAACCCATTGATACCGGGACTTTTAGCTCTAATGAAAATCCACACGCATAAGAAAGGGAAGTTTCAAATTCCACAAAGGAATCAAAAAGCAAAAGCTTATTCTATTCAAAGTTGTGTATAAATTGTTGTAACCCGTAGGTCTTACGTTCTCTATTTATAGAGGTCACAAAAACCTAAAATTAATGTACTTAGGACTAGGAAAACAAGTTTCATAGTAAGTAGGAAACAAGCTACTAATTACAAGTCATTTTCAATGCTAAAGGAAACTTTTTAGCAACTAATTTATCTCTTTCCTTCTCCCTTTGGACGTTTGGATGACTTGGACAACAATTATGGACGACTTGGGCATCAAGAATCTCTTTCTTGGGCACCAGAAAGTCCTTAGTTGTTCTCGCCAAATTTGTCCATCCCTTTTGGCATGTCTGACCTACGAATGTCTTTAGCGGGTGTGGCTCAAATTTGAACACACATTTAGGCTCGTCTGCTCCACGGTCCTTGTAGTGAATGTCACCCCAAATCAGCAAAAGTATCTCGCCAGATAAGCTTGAGTTTGAGATTGGAACTTCCTTGTAAATGGACCTCGAATTTGAGTTGCTCCATCTTCCTTCAAGCTTTCTCACATTAAACTGTCATGAACATCTGATCGAGTCATACCGCTCGGTAAGCCGACATCAGTGATATACACCGACGAACTTGAGAGAGCACAGCAGGGCGGCATCGCCACTAGCCAGTAATTATTAACCGGAGCAAAACCAACAAAGTATAAGAAATCTTTGGCCATGGCCTTCTTATTGGAATCGCCATTTTCGCCAGAGGAACCGGCAGTAGTCCGGGTTCATGGTCTCAACATGTCATGTTTTGATATTAAAATAAAAATCCATCCCCTCCCACCCTAGACTTGGCAGTCCAGCACACACCGAAGACAGCCTCCTTCATGCATCAGATCAAATGCTCTGTTGATCTCCGCCAAAGTCAAATTATGTGTGATGTACTCATCCACCTTGATTTCCTGAAGTACAAGAACAGCAGCATTCCCCAGTAAGCTTGCATGCAGTATTTTTATATAAAAAAAAAAAAACTTAGATACCTATTGAATATTGCCATGTACATAATATAAAGCTAGGACTATTTTTGCTTGCTTCACCTTTTTCAAGTATTTTTCCACGAGCCAAGGCACTTGTGAACGGCTCTTGAAACCACCAAAAGCTGTTCCCTTCCAGACCCGGCCTGTCACTAACTGGAAAGGACGAGTTGATATCTCTTGGCCTGAAGCAGCCACGCCCACTATGACAGAGGTTCCCCAGCCCTGAAATTTCTCATCCCCGTCACATATGGTCCGCATCACTCCTATGTCCTACCGCTACTAATAGTATAACGTTAACACAAGACATCACATTCTTTTATATATCCGGTGTTGCTTACCTTGTGACAGCACTCTAAAGCAGCCCTCATTACAGAAACATTCCCAATGCACTCAAAACTATAATCCACGCCACCGTCAGTAAGATCAACAAGGACCTGCTGAATTGGCTTCTCGTGGTCCTTGGGATTCACGAATTCTGTAACCCCAAAATTCTTTGCTGCACAATGCAATCAACCCCGTCAGGTGCAATATTCAGCGGCCTAGCATGAAAGGTTTCTCCAATTCCATAATCTAGACTCCACACCTCAAACATGCAGAAACTTCAGAAAGAGGTAACATAATACATTCATAACTGTTATGTAAGCCCAGTTCCAAATTCCAGTTTGCGTGTGAGGCGCAAAACCACGAAATTTTATAATAGCATGAGAAAACTGGGCTAAGCTGCTTAGTACATAATAGATAAATCCATATGTGAGGGAATTATAGGGTAAGAGTTTTTCATTACTAAAATTCGTAGAGAAATGTCAACTCAAAGAAAACAAGTTCCTGGAGAGCAGCGCTCAGAAACCACTATATCATAGAACTGGCAACTATATCATAGAACTGGAGAACACACACACATATGCAAAAGAAACTAACACCAATGCATTGTCAGTGCTGATCAACATATGCAACAGTAAGTACTAAAGAAAGGTAACAACAGAAGAAATAAACGCTATTTCCATTTGACCAATAGACAACAAATGTTATATTCGTAGATAACGAGAATGAGATACTACCTGTATCAAACTTTTTAGGATCAATATCTATGCCAATAATGCGAGAAGCACCAGCTGCTTTTGCACCCTCTGCAACCTATACAATCAATCGACTTAATCAGAAAGCAATTAGGACATGATTTCTGCACACAATTTTCCATTCATTGACAGAGATTGGCTATATTGAATAGAGAGAGTGAGTGTATTGAGAACTTACTGCAAGGCCAACAGTACCGAGGCCAAAAATAGCAACAATTGACCCAGCTTCTACCTTAGCTGTGTTCCAAACAGCTCCAAGACCTGAAGGTCGAACACTCAATTAGTCACCAACTGATATTGCATAAAACATTTCTACAAACAATCATCCTGCATTTCCTGTCCATAAATATGCATACAGAAGCAATAATAGCCCCTGTGGAAAATAATCAGGAAGTATAGGAGTGGCCCAACTCTCATAGATGTGTGAATCTCAAATTAAAACAGATTCTCCTGTTCAGAAATATATTGTATTAGATCAATGCACACCAAAGGTAAGATATGAAGCTCAAAGGGTTCAAGTGCCTTTGTTCAAGTGTCTTTCATTTTAATCGGTAATAATGAGCCTGGACTGCTGGGGTCAAATGGGAGGCCAATAACAAGTAGTAGGATTTCCAGGAAAGTCATGGTTGATGCAGATTTCCCATTAAGATTGGATGCAATCCTTACCAGTGGGAACACCACAGCCAAGAAGGCATACTTTGTTGAGTGGAGCTGCCGGGTCGATCTTCGCTACACTCACATCATGCACAACAGTATATTGGCTGAATGTAGAAGTCCCCATTAAATGGTATATGGGTTTCCCATTAACTGAGAAACGGCTTTTGCGATCATTCATCATAACCCCAACACCAGTAGCAGAACGGACCTTGCCACATAAATTTGTCTTTCCTGACTTGCAAAATTTGCACTCTTTGCACTCAGCTTGGTAACAAGGAATGACATGATCACCTGGTTGCACCTCAGTTACACCTTCCCCAACACTCTCCACAATCCTATGTCCAAAAGAAAAACAATTAGGGATAGAACCCTTTCACCCAACTGAGAGGGGGAACCATCAAAATCAGAGTAGGTATAAGGCATCCATACCCAGCAGCCTCGTGACCAAGAATGCAAGGGAAGAGGCCTTCAGGATCCTACAATAGAAGGTGATTGAGAATCATGTCAACCGCAGCAACCATAAATTGTAATCTTGCACACAGCAGATGAGACATTGGAACAGTACAACCGGAGGTTCACTGTAATTATAAAATGCATGATAAAACATTACATCTGTCTGTCCAAATTTCTCTCTTTAACATCGATGATGATCATCCTTAGCCACATTGGAGCTAAAGCAAAAGAAAACATAAGCATAAATCTGATTTACATGGAAGCTATCTGAACAAAGACCAAAACAACGAGGGCCACTCAATTGTAGGCCATACACATGGTAGTGATATAGCCGCCGCTTACCTTGGCATTCCCATAATCACAGCACAAAATGTAATAATGTAAACCAGTGGAATCCAATCACGAACACAAACAAGAAAGATACCATCAAACTTAACAACATCCACCAAAATCAAACTAAAGGTCGAAATATATATCAAATTGAAACAATGAACATTGAACAGCATAAGCAGTACAGAGAAATTAAATTTTGGTTAATAACGAGGCAGTGGGTGAAGAACAAGTATGCAATTACCTTGCCGCTCCAAGTGTAGGCATCAGTGTGACAGAGAGCAGTGAAGAGAATCTTGATGCGGACCTCACCGGCCTGCGGCGGGGCAACCTGGACGTCCTCGATCACCAGCGGCTTGTTAGGCTCCCACGCCACCGCAGCTTCGCGTCACAATCGCATATCATCCCAAAACCCCAAATGGATCAGGATTGCGAAATCGCCAGTAAAATGCAATTGAACGGTGACGAGGAACTGTATTGAATAATATAGAGAGAAGGAGAGATACCTTTGCAGGTGATAACCTGGCCCTGAGTTGCCATCTGATTAGAGCTTGACAAAGAGAGAGCGGGTTGAGAGAGGAAGGGACTGAAGGAGGACGGGGGGAAGAAGAAGTCAAGTCGTGAATGGAGGTGGTGGAGCGAGCGAGGAAGTGGACTCGAGTCGACTCCCATTTTGGGTATTTATAATATCAGATTGTGAGGAGAAGCTGCGGTGGCATAGATCAACGGCTTCCATCGTCAAATCCGTGGATATCATATTATTAGCCATTGGATGATTCGGTTTCCGCAATAGTCAACTGAGCGGACCGTGCCCCAAAACCAATAGGCCGGGTCGGGTGAATGGTTGTGTCATGTGTGGGCGGCTCAACTCCAATAGAGTGCTACTGCTAGACATAGGGGTGGGCGGGTGGCAATCAAATCTATGGCCGCAGGTACCCGATCGCCTCCGACTCAGTCAACGTGGAGAATCCCCGCTTTCATCGGGTACGGGTAAAACCCGCAAAAAGTTTGATGGGTATGGGGCGGGTATGGTTTTAGCCTCTCCCGCCCCATACTCATACTCGCCCCACCAAGAGAATTTCTTCACATATAAAAAAATATGTGAATCAAATTGTAATCTATCAATGATGATGAGGATAGCTCGAGAAAATAAATAGTAGAAATTCAATTGAGTGACCACCCTAATCAAAACATAATTCATTTCCCTCAATTCTCCCTTCACTCTTTCACTTTCACCCTTGTCAACAAGATTATGTTCGTTAATTATTACTTAGTAGGTGTATCAAAGTTAGAGCATAATAATTTGAAAATAGTGTACTCTATATTATGTATTAATGGATGTTTTAGGATCATCTTTGAACCGTATTAAGAAAATGACCGTGTTTTTTTGACTTCATGGTGTAATATGTTCGTTTAGATTTATAATTAAAACTTTGTTGTAAGTTTTAGGTATAATAATATTGGATGTACGGGGACGGGTATTACCCATGGGTACCCGAAACCCACGGGTATGGGGATGGGTTTGCAAAATATTCCTCCGCATGGGTATGGAGCGGGTATGGGTTTGTGCATTTGAAGATGGGGATGGGGATGGTTTAGGCAAACCCGTCCCATTGCCATCCCTAGCTAGACTCAGACTGCCATCACAATTGTATCGGGATGAGATGGGTCGTGCATATTTATAATATTTATACCTCTCGTGTGAAATATCAAAATCATACTTATCTCTAATCAAGTTTCGTGTACCCATGGCTATCTATAAATTATAATTTCTCTTTATAACTTCAACTAAGATGTTAACATACATAAATACTGACATTATATAAGTGAAAAAATTACAATAAATTACGAAAACGAGGAAAATTTGCTAACAATATAATTTCATGATAAATATTATATATGCATGATAAATATCAAATATGTTGAGAAAAATAATAATTTTAAACAAAATAAATATGCATGTGTATAATCGTGCAAATTCGGATGGGATAGTGCGAAAACCATGTTCACCCTATCACCCGCAATATTCATATTCGAGTTTTACCATACCCATTAAATATCCTTCGGGTTCATGTTTATCCTACCTAATTATGTTGGATTCAGATGTATTAGTTGTATTTTACATCCCTAGCGCTAGAATGCCAAACGGGGACAACTCTAATAGGGTGCTAAATGCCAGAGAGAAAATTTTTGGGTCTCTAGTGCCAAATTGGTTCGAAAATGGCAGAAGGAGTCAAAATTGCTCGACCCCACATTTGCAGTTAGCGGACGCCCCGCAGGAGACGATTGTCCTACACGCGGGGAAAGGGAATGAATCCCTTCTAGCACGTGTCGGCCACCGCCAATCCCCTGCGGCTAATTCGGGTTGTTTATAATACGAGCACAGTTGTGCTTGTTTAAGCTCAATGTACGCAACATAAAACCCACTCTAAGAATGGATTGAATTTGATCAAACTTAAAACGAAAAAAAGGACCTAAGGTGCAATCTTTCACGTGGAAGAAGGCTCGATTGGTTTAAGGTGAGGCTTGGCCACGATTGATGCGGTTTCAATCGATACGAAGCAAGCTTGTTGCTGGAACTCGACCAACACACAAGGTTTTGGTGACAAGGTCACAATTTACTCATTCATTCAACTCTCCTTTTTACACTAGGCTTCCAAGCCTTTAAATGGACAATTAACAACTTAAATCAGACTCTAAACAAACTAGGAAAATGAATTCCAACTCTAACTCAACAAGGAAACATAATCCCAACTAAAAAAAGGAAACAAAACTCAATTACTTCACACCCAAGCTTCTACCTTCCTGCGCAAGCAATCATACCAGCCTCCATAGCCACTCTGAGCTTCTTGATCAAGGCCTTCCAGCAAGATTCGATCCAAACGGCCTTCATATGTCTTCCCCAGGTGTTGAACTTTCAGTCTCAACTCGCCTATTCCATTTCCATCAACTAGGATGTAAGTGAAACGACCCGCACTTTTTTGAAGACCAAACCATAACTCAAACCGAAAATCGGTTACTCCGGAGTAACCCAAACCGCTTTTTAAAATAAATAAACCGACAATGTTTAAGAATTTCAAACAAAAAGCCTGAACACTTGGGCAAATGACAATCTCAATACTTAAAATGAATGAACTCAGAATCTCCAGTTTACACTCCTAACCATGTAACAAAGAAATTAAACTATTCTAGCACTGACTCTTCACGAGTTCCTTGACTTCTCATCAATGTTGGTGCAGCTACTCGCCTCGCCTTGCCTCTTCTCGAAGCCGCCTCTGCTAACCCTTCCTCGACCTGGTGAGTGAGAAGGGGTCAGTCTCATCGTTACTTCTTAAGGTCTTTGCCCAAAGCAAGCTTCCTACTAACACGTTATTAGAGTTTCCTTCCTAGCACGAAAGCCATTCTCGCTTTCTGCTCTTAAATAATCATCTTTGCTAAAACACGTTATTCGGGTTCTTGACTTAGACAAAAGTCGTTCTCGCTTTCATCCTCAATAACTATTTCAACATTAACTCATAAAAATTCTCCACTTCTATCCTTAACTCAAACACAAGACACTAGGATCACCGCGTTACATCTCGCCGTCTGGTGTCTTGCCCTAGTATGCCAACCGTGTTACGTCTCGCCGTCCGGTTGCATACCCAAACTCGGCAATGGCATTGCGTTACGTCTCGTCGTCCAATCCATGTCCGGTCAACTACTGCGTTACGTCTCGCCGTCCAGTAGTGACCCAAACATACCCGATCAACTGTTGCGTTATGTCTCGCCGTCCAGCAGTGACCCGACCATCTACCGCATCCAGTAGTGGCCCAACCGTCCAGGGGTTCATCTTACCATCAACCAACTATTACAACCATGCATCCATACATTCATACAAAGCACAACGCGTGCCTCCACCCTTATAGGCAGTGGGATGCCTCGCACACATATCGCGCATACTAGAAAATTAACTACATAATAACTTGAACTAAAAGCATAAACAAAAAACCTACGACAGAGATTTTACCCCCTTTACACTCACCTTGAAAAGATGACTCCTCGATTCTTTCCTCGAAGAAACCCCTCCTTAGCCGGATTATCTTGGGGAAACCTATTAATAAGAATCCATTTTCTTAGACGACTATTCTCGATCTAAAACCCCATTTTATAAACCAAACACCCTCTCCTCAAAGTCTCATCCTCAAACCTCAATCCAAATATCCCTTAACCTCCTTTAACAATTTTCTAAAAGCAATCTCCTCAAACCGGCCATTTTTTCTAATTAAATTCGTCTTGGACGAATTTTTCACCTAACTTGAACCTTCTTAAAAATTATGATAATAATTTTTCTATGTCAATCATGAGCACCTATACCCTGTAAAATTATCAAACCCTTAAAATTCCCTCGGTAAGATTTTTATTTAATTAAAATAAAAATTTTGAACAATTTCTAAAAATAGAAATACATCTTCCAAAGTCCCCAAATTATATTACAACCATCTCCTAGACCTCCCTCAATTTATAAAATTGTTAAACCTAGGAATAAACACCCGCAGAGGCTCGAAACAATTTAAAACATCCAAAATAAGTTTCTGCAAATTCCCAGCAGCTTTAGTGACTACCCAAAATCTGTCACCAAAAGCCTGTAACGTCTGTTGCTAAAACCCAAAATTGTACCCTCACGAAAAATCACCAAATTAATCGACCTAACTCAAAGGGATCGAGTTCCCTTACCTCTAGAACGTGCCTAGGCCTAGGTTGGATGACCCGGGACGTTGATCTCCTCGTCAATCGATATTCGAACCCTCAAATGTCACCGCTAATAAAAATACGAGTTTTGTATTAGACTATTGATGAATCGAGTTCGAAATCATGAAATGAATCGTCATCCTTACCTAGGAAAAGGATTGGGCCGAAAGGATTAGGGACGGTGTCGGGGTCTTCTTCTCCTTTTCTTTTTCCCTTTCCGCTCCGCCGCGATGCTTCTCACTCGCCGCTGGGGAACAGAAGGAGGGTGGGGCGCTGCTGGGGAAGTAATTGGGAAAGGGTTTTGTGAATGGGGGAGGGTTTGCTATTGGGGAAAATAATGGGGGTGGGGTTTAATTGGGGCCGCTTTGTCCCCCTTTTTTTTAAATATTAATAAAATAATAATAATAGTTAGGACTTTGCTACGGTGACATGCATGTCACGGTGACATGCACTTTTCGGTCGACCTCATATAGGATTAGGTCGACCTAATCTGTTGTTTTAGTGTAAAAACAGTTTCATGGTGCCTACTTTGGAGATTCATATCTTACAATTGGCTAGATGAAAATTGGAGATTAATGGCTTGTTTTGCAACTGAAGTGTCCCTCTACACATTAAAGTACTTGGGAGCTCGATAGAAAGTCTAGAAGACCATTTTTTAACCTAATCAAAAGGCTATGCCAAAACTGGGAAACTGCCTGAAAATGGCCAAGTCTGGGAACGTGTTTGTGAAACCTACTTTGGAGCTCAATTTGAGGAGTATGGTTGCGATTCGAGTCCAGGGGTCTCTACCAAGTTAAATTAGGTATGTTTGTCTACAAAGGAAAGGCATTGGATAAAAGATTGGATATCTTTAAGGCTTCAAACAAAAGGCTCGAAGTTGCTACAAAGGCTGTTTTTTTGCCAACTTGCTTGTGAGGTCGACCTGATCCTAAATGAGGTCGACCTGATCCTAAATGCGGTCGACCTGATCCTAAGTGAGGTCGACCTGATCCTAACTGAGGTAGACCGAAAAGTGCAAGTCACCGTGACATGCATGTCACCATAGGGGCACCCTAATAGTTATTATTATTATTATTATTCCTAATCCGTTATTGCAACTCTTAGTACGCAACTGTCAACCCAACAGATCACGTATTAAGGTCGAACCTAAACCTAAAGGTCGGAGTGTTAGATTTCCTCCACCCTTACAAAAACTTTGTCCCCGAAATTTGAACTGTATTGTAGTCCCTTTTACGATGCAATGTTGTATTTGAAGGAACGATGCTAGTTGGGGTATAACAGTAAGATACGAACCTGTAAAGTAATTAAGCACCACGAGACAACCTAAACACTTGGCCAAATTCTTCCATTTTTCCTTCCAACGTTGATTGACCCTTTGGCAAGCAATTGATTCGTGTTTAAGGGGTGATCTAGGATCATATCAGTTTACGTTTGTAGTAAAATAAAATTGCACTTCAACCTCCAAATTCACTCCAACGACTCTTTCTGCCTACACAACTACTTTTTTCAATTTTCTTTACAAGTACACCTTATTTCATCACTTCTGCTTTACCACTTCCCATTTTTCTTTCATAGGGGAATCCAAGAACCAAAAAGATTTGTTGGTGGCTAGAGAGATGTATGAAGGTTGAATGGTCGATAAGTAGAATGGCCAAATTTGAGAATTCATCTATAGAAACAATGCCATCGATGCCACCGCATCGTCGTATCGTTTCCCTTTGATTCGTGATAGATTTCACACTTTTATACCCATTACTTTGTGCTTTTTGACTTTGTTTGCACCATCCTTGGAGCTATTTGACGCTAGGTTTGGTCTTGTTTTGGAATGTTTCACACTTAAGTTGGTAGAATGGGCAACAGGATCGAAACTCGCACAAAAGGGATAAAAAAGGGAGCAAAATGGAGAATAGTGCAAGGATCACAGTCTGGCGGAGATTGTCACGGGAAGCAACCGTGAAGTTGACGTGGAAATTGTGAAGATTACAAACTTCCAAGAGCCTTTGTGCAGCTTGCGAGCATTGCAAGGATCACGCTCCCAAATCGTGAAGTCAACACACAACTCATGAAGTATGTTAATGAAACGACACATTTTACGCTAAGATCATGATTTCATTGCATACTTCACAAGCATGAAGTGCAATCGTGAAACGTGCACTCACATACTATATAAAGGAGAGAAAGTAGCAAACAGTTAAACTTTGGTGAATTCGATTGAGAAAGTATCACTCATACATTGCTCCCCCTAGTCTCGTGTCAAAATACAACAAATGAAACTCTAATGTGATAAGTATGATCATATACCGTGAGGAAGTCGCAATTAGCTAGTAACCCTGACTCTCTTAATCGTTTGACAAAGGATTGCAAAACCATTCCCTCGGAAGTTAATTCAAAACAGCAAAAAGTAACCAATAAAGACGAAATCATGGCACTACTTTGATGATTGGGAGATGACCCGAATTAACCTAGAGAAGGTTACCCGAATTGCCAAGTGACTCGTCCCGAATACCACAACAAAACTACCAATTAAAGTCCAAGTATAAACCTTAATTGGGTGAAATATATGACAAGTATGTTTAAATGTCTACCCGGGCCGGTTCATGTACCCCTACTTCGATAGTTGTAACATTATCTAGCGATTGATTTTGGTTCAACGATCTATAGCTAAAACGCTTGGAAAATTAAATGGATTTGACACTAATTGAGAAGGCTTCACCCGGTTGTTGTTCCCCTAGCTAACAATTAAGACTTGTCGGATCAAATGGTCATGTGTGGTAAGGTGGTTGTAAACCGTAGATTAGTGCAACAAGTAGCCAAACGCCACTCTCTCAGTCTCTAGGTCGAGGGAATTCGATTCAAGCTACCAAAGTGACTCTCTCGACCTATCGACTAAGGGTTGCTAAGATTTCACCCTCGAATCATGGTTTGGACGACCAATTACAACCAACCCTAGATGTTAACACGAAATAAGAGGGTTGCCCTACATTAACCTATATAGGAGACAATGAATTGCTTAAGAAACCCCAGCTTTGCAAGCCTCTTTCAAAGAAAGGGAGTTTTCTCTCTACCTAGGTTAGAATGACAAATAGATTGATAGAAACACACAACACAGTCTTTCATGACAATACCTCATTCACATTAAACACATCCACACACAAATCATTCAATCCATACAAGCATTCACATAATTATATCGAGGGTTTACAAACACCTAAGTGAAAAAAGGTACTACTTCATGCTAGGAGAAAAAGCTTTTTTGGTGGTGAAAATTTAACGAACTGTTAAGGTTGACTGCCACAAATAAAATTAACAAAAAGTGACTAAACATGTACCATTTTACTAGTGACCAAAATTGATATTAATTTTTTTCAGAGACTAAACATGACACATGACACATTTTAGTATACCCAGTGACCAAACTTGACATTTATCCCTCTTATTCCAAAGAAAACAAAAGCAGCTTTCAACAATTCCCTCATCCTACCAGATTAAAATAAACAACAATCTAATCCAAGCTTTAGAAAACAGATACAAATCCTCACGTCTCTCCACACAGTGTTCCGGTCTTCAACCGAAGCAAAATACCCTTACAAATTACAGTACGAAAGAGAAAAACAGAAAAGCTCACAAGAAACCAATCTCTTAGCTTTCACTGATCAATCACAAGGCGCACCAAAGCAAACAGCTTTCTGCACAATTCCATCTGGAAATACCCTTTGTACTCTCTACTTGACTGTCCCCGGGAGAAACCCTCCCCTGATATTACACATTCCTCATATGCTTCAGTTTGAAAACCAAGCCACAAGAAAACCTGAAAACCCCCAACCACAAACCCACAATTAACCAGATGGTATGACTTCTCTGCAGTCTAAAGGATGTTCAAATTCAGAGTCGTACATACCCATGTTAAAACAAGAAACTGTCACCCGTCAAGCCACATAACTAATGTTCCAGCACGAGCAGGTGTTTGTTGTTACCTATAACTGCATTACATGCAGCAGGTCATACCTTGCTTTTTTTTTTCTTTCAACAGTCAAACCTTGTTCGGCAGAATGTTTCAATTCTAACTGAATTTGTAACCCTAAGCATGAGGAGATATACCTAACATTTCTCTGGGACAGTCTGTCGCCCAAAGCACTCCATGCTGGAGAACACAAAGGGCCTGATGTAAGCACACGCGGCCTGCATCAAGTAATAAAAACGCTAGAGTTACGTAGATGTAAAAAATACACTAAAATTGAGGTTTCAAAGGTTTGAAGAAAAACACGAATGACAAAAGACCAGGGCTGAAGCTCTAATTTTCAGCAGAATCTAACCTTCCTTTAATTCCTATTCCAAACATGTATACCCCCACATCTAGGCACTTGTACTTGGCTGCTTAAAATCCATTTCTGAGTATCTGTAGGAACAAAAAGGAGAAATTAATTTTAAGACATCAAAGATAAATAATAATTATGCATAACAGGATAGAGATATCAACTTGCCTGCGAGGCTTCTGTCGTTGCCCATATTCATCGCCCACAGCCTCTGCAAACAACCAACATTGATCAGTTACCATTTAATTTAATGAGGTTAGACAACTAACAGGACCAAAGACAGCATAATAGGTAAAAGTTTACATTTCCTACCAGGTCTTTTTGAAGGTTTCAAGTCATTGTTTGATCTGCTTGTGTTGGTTTCTTTGCTGCAAATACAACAACGAATAGAACAGCTAAAATTACCATCAGGTAAACCAGTTGCTGCCACTTTTTGCTTTGGAACAGAAACTTGCGAAAGATACCACCAAACTATAAACACTACTGTTCATGCATCACTTCAATTATTGGAAGCTTAGAAAATACAGATTGCTTATGACAATGCCCTACGCTGCGACCACTATACAGGTCTCTGCACCTGCTAATATAGAAAGGGTTGGGACACCAAATGTAAGAAATACAACAAAAAGGCTTTAATGGTTTCAGAGATTTTGATACGAACGAGGACGATTCTGCAAAATATTTAAAAAATAACAGCAGCCTCTCTGATTGGTCAGTCAATAATTCTTCCAAACAAGAAAAACTATACACTTTCATGAATGTCTCCAGCAGAGATAAAGTGTTTAGGGTGGTACACACATGAAGAATACTTCCAACCAAAGAAGCCTAGAACTACCCAGCAGGGGAAGCCATATGCAGGCCAATTTGCCATAATCAACATGAATATGCTAAATGAAACCCTGCATTATCAAAGCTAACCTTGAAGAACTCATGGAGGATGCCTGCCCGGCTGGGAGTGCATGATAAGAAGAACCATCAACAGTAAGATAGGGATTACAGTATGCGGCACCTAAAGCTCCTGCAGCACCAGTCAAAATTGGCAACCTGCACACATAATAAGAATTTTGAACACCATCAGCATTCTATTCTTCCATCATCAGGAACACTATAATAAGACATGGAAAGTTGTATCAACCACTAGTTAAGGGCAATGAACTGCTGCATAATAATTGCCAAGAAGAGCAACTGCAGCTAGATAGAGACTAAAGAACAAAGTACCATGCCATTTCTGAATTCCCAGAACCATGTTGATGCTGAGCAACATATCCAGGAAAAGCCATGCCAAGAGCAGGAACACCCATTCCACCAGGATGCTGACCTCCAATTTGCATCACTGCATGCCAAAACAATAATGAAACAAATTATATAAATTTCAAACCTACCATATACTGCAATTATTCAGAGAAAGTTCTAAACAAAAATGAACGCAAAAGGAAACCTCCAGTAAAGTAACTTATTTTCCTGAATCTGGTAATTTTAAAGTGGGAGTGGTCTTGTTAAAAAAACATGCAACAAAGAATTTAAGAGTGAAAGGAAGACGTACCCCAGAACAGAAAACTTAAGGCAAAATGAAATTATAGACACAACAAACATAAAGCTACATAAGGCTCAGACAAACAAACCAGTATTTCAATACATATGTTGCTTAAAACCAATAATAAATAATAGCATACAATAAGATGCAAAAGACAGTACCAGGAAAGAAAGCAGGTCTTGCAGGGAAGTTCTGATCACCAGGAACAACACCCATACCGCCAGAGGTAGCCACAACTTGAGCACCTCCATACAGGAGCGGACCTTTACCCTTCCCAACCAATGCAGTCCTAGATTTACTAGACTCTGAATTACTTTCAACTTCACCATGTTCATAAGAATTTTCTGACACCGCAGAATTCGGTGGAGAAGAAGCTCGAGATCCTCCACCAGAAGGCTTTGATGACTGCTGACTAAGTGCTTGAGCAGAGGACTGAATCCGGCCTTGGGAAACACCTGGTTGAACTGCATGATGTTGAACTACTGGAAAGGTTCTGCAGACTTGGTTGTGAGAGGCAATTGGTTGATAACCCACCTGTCCAGAACCAGGTACAGCTCTTTCCTGGGCCCTGGTTTGAGACCTTAGTGAGGAGTTGTTGACCACTGAAGAAGAAGAAACGTGTGGCATTGGAACATTATTCAATGCCTTCCCAGTAGGCAATGGAGCACGGTCATCAATACAAAGTTTGTCGATGCCAACAGTATCAGAGACATTTTTCCCACGTGCTAAGGTACCAGTCGGCTGCACATTGTTCCGACTTACACTTCCAGACTGCATATTATTTTTCTGTGTCACAGTAACATCTTTACTTGAAGACAAAGAAGGATAAAATGGAGGAGAAGCTGAATTTAAGCTTGAATGTTTTCTTGCAGTAGGCACTTGCTCTGATTCAGGATTTGACATAACTGTTATAGCTCTTCCCGAACCACCATATGAAGTCTTCTCTACAGGGTGCTTATTTTGCAACGAAGATGTAGGGCTACTGTGTTTCCAGTTAGGTTCATACTTTCTGGGACCTCTTCCCCTGACACTTTTAGGTCCCTGGCTCTGATTGTCCCCATTGCTCAATGCAACAGAGCTGCTCCTTCTTCCATAGCCTTGTTCTGGACCACGATTTTTACCACCACGCCCACGATAACTACCTCTAGAGTTTCTTCTACCCTAAAATACTTCTCATGTCATTTTCAGAAGATAGATATCTAAATGCAATGCAAAAAGGAACAAGAACAGAGAACAAAGCAAGAACACTGACTCGTCAAAATATACCATGTCACAGAATAATCACCTGGTCATGATGTCTTTCTAGCGAAGTCATCTCTTCAAATTTGTCATGCCCCCACTTTTTCTCATCTGTGGACTCCCACAGCTTCCTCCCACCATATGTTCGCCTACACCAGGAAACGGGTACAAAACAATGTTGAACTCTCATCAACTTCTTTTACTCATCATTTAAGTTTACTATGTGACCAGAACCATCTATAAATGTTCATTTCAAACAGAAAACCAACAACAAGCAAGAGTTATATTTCTCACCAAAACAGCGCATGTACCAATTGAATGCAAGTACCTTCCGTTTACCAGTAGATTGTCCACAAAATTTTCTCACCAAATATGTAAGCAAAACTACACAGGCTGTTTACCTACTGATCTATTATCACCAGACCCAATTACGTACAGTTCCCAAATATTTTAAGTTGGGGCGGTAAGAGGAAGTTAAGAACATATAACAAGAAACAACCATGACAATCAGCCGGCAGTCATTTCAAGAAGAACATTAACATCTTATCTTATCGGACCCCTCTGCATGAACCTCTGCCCCCAGTGTCTCATCATATTAAGCTACCTAGTGGAGCACATAGATCTGTCAATCGAACATAGCAACGGTGGAAAGACTAATTCACATTTTTTTAATAATTGCTGACTGCATTACAGTACCCAACAATTTTTGTACCGCTTCTTACCACATCCCAATTACTTCGACTTAAGAAAATAACACCCCATATCCAAAAGCCATAGCATTGAATAATTTTAGGCACATCATATGGAAGATTTTGCCACAGGAAACATCAAATCTTTAAGAGAACATAAACAGGTCTAATTTATTTCAAGTAGGAATGGAGGCTGTAATCATACCTGTTTTGACGACCAGAACTTTCCCTAAACCGATCATCGTGCATGTAAAAAGCCCCAGCAGTTGGCACAGCGAAAGGTTCATTCTCTTTCTTCCCCTCCTCATCCCCCTCCTCGCCAACATTATCCTCACCCTCCCTCTCGTCGATCCCTTCTTCAAAATTCTCACCCTCCATATCTCTGTCATCACCCTTACCTTCACCATCTTCTCCTCCTACTGAAATTGTGTTTTGGACTTTCTGGCCCAGAAAACCTTCAACCTCCTCCACATTGTCCCCCTCACTCCCAACCACATAACCGTCCTCTTCATCATCTTCTTCTTCCCCTCCATCTAATGGCTCCTCTTCTTCCTCTTCATCATCATAATCCGCAGCCCCACCTTGATCATCAGATTCATCAGCGGAATGAATGGGCGCCCTCCGATCCAGTCCAAGACGTTTCAACTCCAATTCGCCATTAACTTCCTCGTCATCACTGGCAGCCTCGCGCCTCCGCAATCCCAGGGGATGCTTCTCCTCCTCTAGATCGCTCTCATAGTCAACCTCTTCCTCGCCCATCTTGGCCATTAAAAAACGACTACTTCCTAAAATGAAAAAAGCGAAATCAAGCACTGAACTTCACCGGAAACCCAATATCAAATTGGAGTAAACGACCGCGCCGGGGAAGACAGTAACGGCTTGCTTCGGGGAGAAGTCAGTGACCAAACAAATCGAAACCCCCACAGACCCAAAAAGCAGAAAATTACGGGAAAAGACGGAATTTGAGGGAGGAAGAAGAGAAAGTTAGGGTTTTTAAATATGGAATTGGATCTGAAGAGGGTAAGGAATCGCGAAAACCCTAGATTCCCAGATAGGGAAAGCAGCAGGCTTGAAGAGTACAGAGATACAGAGGAAGAGAGGCGGGGATATATTTATGGGATTGCCTCTCAGCGTAAATATTAAAAACAATTATCTAATTCGGGAAAAAAATAGAGTAACAGAGAAAGAAGGAAACTAGGATGATTTGACCTGCTTATTAATTTTTACTTTAATTTGGCTATTCTCTCTTGATTTTTATAATTTGTTTTTTAACCTTTGGTGGAAAGAATTGCAGAGGTGGTGGAGTGAAGGCGTTCGCATGTCCTTATCCCAATTCAAAAAGACATATTCCTTTGGGCCTTAAGTCTTGTGGGCTTGGTCGATTTTGTTATCCGTACGTATTCAACTAATTGGTTGGGCCTAGTTGGAGCATTTTGCTTTGTTTATTTTCCAGGAAACGGATGGACTTTCCTCAAACTTTGGAGACTTGTTGGAATTTGCTGCATTGCGGTCACTTGACAGCCACAGTAGATTGGTCATTTACTTCTATCCTGAAAAGGGTTGAAGCAAAGACATGGATCTGGTCAATGCATTTCCAATGGTTTGCTGCTCTGCTTCAGTTTTCAGCATGGTTAGTTCATGATATTGATCCTTTTAAGGAAAGAAATCATGATATTACCCATGTCACTCAGGTATCATAGGGCAGCCCATATCGTGGCAGGAAAGCCCTATATTGTCAGACCTGCAAAGGTCTTTTCATTTTTCATTTATGATTTGACCTGCAAAGGTCATGTATATTGTTATATACTTCGTATCTGCTGTTCCCCTTTGGGGATATCTCTGGCAAAAAAAAAAAAGAAGGAAACTAGGAAAAGTAATGGGGAAGAAGAGTTGAAGAAGAAGTCCACGCCTTCCGAAAGATTACTGACACAAAATGGTGACAGAAGTCGGCGTTTAACCCTTAACATAAATACATGTAATCAATACAATTATCTTACTATCAATAAAAGTATTCACATAAAAAAATATATGTTAATGGTATGGGTTAATGAAATATGGGACAGGATACGGTGACAACCCCCTTGGGGGTTGTCAGATTCACAACCAAGGATATTTTGGGTATGAAAAAAATGAATATATTAATTACCTTTTTTGTATTAATTATATTGGGAATTTAATACCCATATTAAATACAATTTTTTTCTGAAATTTAAATCTTATACATTAATATCTCTATCTATCTCTCTCTCTCTCTCTCTTCCTTTCTCCAGCAGCCACTCCGCATCGACTGACAAACTTTTTCTCCGGCGAATTCTCTCCGGCAGACTCCCTCCGGCAACCTGAAAAAAATGTACCAATGCGTTAAAAAGTGTACCAATCTATTAGTCTACTGGTAATTAATATACCAGTGCTAGTGGTACGCTACCAGTACGTTAAAAAATGTACCAGTACTAGCGGTACCAGTAAAAAATGTACCAATACTAGTGGTACGCTACCAGTAGAGAATAACACAACGCTACTAGCACTGGTAGCGCTACCACTAACATTGGTAGCGGTACCAGTAGAGAATAACACAAAAAAACAGATAATAGTGGTATTAGATGATAGTGGTACCAGATGATAGTGGTACCAGTGAGTAGTGGTAGGGGAGCCACTGGTACGTACCAGTGAGTAGTGGTATCGTACCAATAGGAATTGGTACCACTAGCATTGGCGGTCTTCTCATCGAGATTCTTCGCACCCCCGGCGGTGGCCTTGGCGTCGAGGAGGTCATTGAAGCCGACGCCGGAGGCAGAGAGCTTGGTGTAGAGACGATCTGGACGTCGATCTGGACGTTGCTGATGAGAACGCAGACGGAGCCGATCTGGACGTCGCGGAGCCAGGCGGCGGCGTAGATCTCGATCATGATGGCGGGGACAGCAGGCTGTGAACGGTGGGCACGGGAGAGGAAGAGGGAGGGGAGGACAGCGGCGCGGGGAGGACAGCGGCGGGGCGGGGCGCGAGGGGAGGACAGCGGCGCGGCGGCAGGGGAGGCAGAGGCGGCGACGGTGGTGGAGCTCTTGACGGCTAGGGTTTTTTTTTAGAGATATGTGAGAGGGGAAGAGGAGGGAGACGCAGGAGAATGGGGGAGGGTCTGTTTTTTTTTTTTTTTTTGTGGTAATAAAAAGTATTTATATGGAAAATGGAAAGGATCTCATGTTGTAAGTTTTCCATTCCGAATTTGTCCTTGGTTTAATCTTAACCATTAATTTAAAAAAAGAAGAAAAAGACAGGAGAGAGAACGTATCCGATGGCCACAAAGGTGGTTGTGAATCTGACAACCCCCAAGGGGGTTGTCACCGTATCCTGTCCCATGAAATATTGAAATGATCACAAGGCGCCAGGCCCTGATGGATTCACTGCTGGATTTTTTCAAAAAGCATGGCATATAGTGGGTAGAGATGTGACACGGGCTATATTGGATTTCTTTCAAACTAGCAGAATGATCAGTGGAATCAATTTGACTGCAGTCTCCTTGTGTCCTAAGGTACCAAATGCTTCTCAACTTAAAGATTTTCGTCCAATTTCGTGTGTGAATGTTGTTTATAAGATTGTTGCTAAGATGTTAGCAAAGAGAATTAGAGAAGTGTTGCCTAAAGTGATCAGTCCAAATCAGACAGCATTTGTAAAAGGGCGTCGAATTATGGATAATATAATGTTAGCTCAGGAACTTGTGAATGGATATAATAGGAAAATGTTGTCTTCACGGTGTGCAATTAAGGTCGATCTCATGAAGGCGTTCGATTCAGTAAGTTGGAAGTACTTATTTGAGGTTATGAAAGCACTGAAGTTCCCAGAGGTGTTTCTTAGTTGGATTAAAGCATGTTTACAGACTGCTCGGTTCAGTTTAAACATAAATGGAGGCTTGTGTGGTTTTTTTAAGGCAGCCAAGGGGGTTAGGCAGGGAGACCCGATTTCACCGTATCTCTTTGCCATTGCAATGGAAGGATTAACAGGGATATTGAATGAGGCAACGCAGAAGGGGTATCTCCCATTTCATCCTCGATGTAAGCAAGTGGCAATGAGTCATCTCTGCTTCGCAGATGACTTGTTGATTTTTACAGAAGGATCAGGTCAGGCAATCAATAAAGTCAAGGAGCTTATGCAATCGTTCTATGTGCTGTCAGGTTTGAGATGCAATCCGGGAAAATGTGAAATATACTTTGGAGGGGAATCCTGGAAATACAAGCAGAATGCTATTAGTCTCACTGGTTTTAAGGAAGGAGAGCTTCCTGTTAGGTATTTAGGGCTGCCTTTGCATTCGGGTAAGCTGACAGATAGAGAATATGATGTGCTTATTGCAAAAATCACGAAAAAAATAAAGTCCTGGCGTGCAAAGAAGCTGACATATGCTGGCAGATTGCAGCTCATGTCTTCAGTGTTATTAAGTGTAGTACAATATTGGTTACAGATTATTATTCTGCCAAAGAAAGTGTTGAAGAGGATACAGAAGGTATGCCAGGATTTTCTATGGCATGGAGAGGAAACTGGTAGAGCTAAAGTGGCTTGGGAGCGCCTGGCACTTCCTAAAGAAGAGGGTGGACTAGGATTGAGGGATTTAGCAACCTGGAATCAAGCTTGCTCACTGAGGCTTCTTTGGCTTATGCTAATGCAATCTGGGGCGCTTTGGGTGGCCTGGACAGCAGCTTATCGCTGTAAAGGAATAGATGTATGGCAGCTTAAGATAAATTCTAGCAGCTCTTGGGCGTGGAGGAAAGTTCTTAGACTCCGTTCGAAAGTGCAGCATCTTCTGACTAAGTGTGGGGATAAGGTGCTGTGGGATGGAAGTCCAATGGAGCAGTACTCTCCGAAAAGAGTTTGGGCCACACTTCGTCCTAAAAGCAGCAAACGGGAATGGAGTAAGTTGATCTGGGGGAAGTGTAGTATCCCTAGATTTAGTTTTATTGCTTGGCTTATTATGACCAATGCTCTGACTACTCGAAGCCAGCTTTTGCGATGGGGGAAAATTAGTGAGGATAAATGTTTGCTATGTGGAATCTGTAGTGAGACCAGGGAGCACTTGTTTTTTGCTTGTGTCTTTGTACAGCAGCTGGTGCAGGTTGCTGGAGGAGAACAGTGGTGTGTGGAGTCATGGGAACGTGCTGTTAAGCTGGCAGGTGACTTGGCGAAGAAGAAGAGTCCAGCTGGCCGATCTATTTGTGTGCTATGGTGTGGACTTTCTGCTGCAATCTGGAAAGAGAGGTGTCGCAGGATGTATGGTGAGAAACATAGAAGTGTTGAGGAAGTGTGGAAGGAGTTTCAATATGATTTAAGTTGTCGATTAAGTGGCGATGTAAATTTGGCGACTGATTTTGAGAGCATAGGCAAACTTGATAGATACCATAGCTGCTGATAAGAGTGAGTAGACAGTGTAGATAGTGTAGGGATAGTTGGTTTTTTCTTGCTGGGATGACTATACTGGTCTCCCATTTTCGTTGTATTGACTTTAGCATTGTGTCTTGCGATGCTGTTTAATGAGAGAAGTTGATTCAACGAAAAAAAAAATATTGAAATGTTATATTTTGTAAATTGATTTATTCTCTTAGCAATTACATAGAGTAAAATAGACATTTCTTTTAAGTTTTCATTCAACATATTATATGAGTTTTTATCTAAAACGGGAGTCCATACTCCATATGTTGTAGTCTACACTCTATAAATATAAATATACAGTATATGAACAATCTTGAACTTTATTTTTTATAAGTCGAAGAGGGAGGAACGTTTGACACTTTAGTGGTTATGCAAAGTATTAAGTATGTGTATATAATATTTATGAGATATATGGTTAATTACTTAACTGGTTAATTTGGTTTAATTGACTATGAGTATGAAACCAAACCAAACCAAACCAAACCACCTAAACCAAACAAGCTAAAAAATTTATCAAACCAAACCGTTATCCAAATTAACCAAACCAAATGATCCAAATACTACCGGTTAAAATGGTCACCACGATATGTAACATCCTGATCCTTTTAACCAAAAATATAAAACGGTTGCTCCAGAGCAGAGTAAAAGTTCTTAAAAATCAAACAAATAAAACAACAATAAATCTCCAGTTTATACTCATAATCATGAAAC